GAGGGAGGGAGGGAGGGAGGGAGGGAGGGAGAGAGAGACACTAAATCTTCCCAGTCCAGAAAAACCACCCAACCCTGAAACCATCAAGTCACACAACCCACCTCCAACCCCACACTGTGCCTACAGTGTTTCTCCCTGGCCTGGCAGAAGGCCTCTTCAGGGACTCACCCAGCCGGGACTCCACAGGGTTGATGACATGGGGGAGGCTGTGCATGGCCAAGTAGTAGCTAGATGAGGCTGGGTCAAAGCGGGGGTTCACTCCCAACATCGCATAGTAAAGGATCTGTAGCACAAAGAAGAACATGCTATTTCTGGTCTCTGTGCATAGATTGAGAGTCTACTTTCTCTAAGAAAAGCACTGAGGTACCTTGATATATTCAGGACAAGGTAAAATATACAAGACAAAGTCAGGGCTCAGTGGAAATAGGTGTATGGAAGAAAATAACGAAATCAAGGGGAAGTTAGCATACTAAACACATACTTAGAAAACCACATATTTTACCAGGTTTCCAAACAGCCAAAGGGGAAACAAAGAAAAAACATAACAGTGTTCACAAAATCCAATCCAGCCCCCTCTTCAGAGACAGCCACTCCCATTAGCAGGCCCTGAGAAACAGACCCCCACATTTTCCCTACAAGGACAGAATGTGACAGGGAACGCAAGCAGCATTCTTTATGGCCTTATTGTTACAGTGCTTACATATTTCAGAGAGCTTTTTTTTTAAATAAATTCCTTAAAGGAGGCTGATGGCTTTAATATCTCAATGCAACTGCTGAATAAGTTTGAGGGAAGGTGCTTTGCTACACCGCTCTGATGGGACTCGGAAGGAAGGATACCGGAACCTGCCCTCAAGGGATCAATGAACTGATGGAGATAAACAGGTGCACACACAGCGCTCCCCACAAGCTGCACACCGGTACCTGCTCACATAACACTGCCCTGCACATAGCTATGTAAGCAAACCATCACACTGTAAGAGACAGAAGAGCAGATGCCCTGGTAAACACTAAATTTGCACAGACTTTGAAAAAAGTTCTTTAACTCTCGCCCGATCTTACCTGAGAATCCACAGAGAAATTGCCAGCAGCACTGAGGGCATTCAGGAAAGGCTGCACATACCGCTGGACGGCCCCCTCAATGTCCCAGTGGACATCATGGGACTTGGGGTCCGGGTTGAGTAAACTGAAAGTGATCTCATAGCCTATAGGAAGAGGAGTCATAGATAGGGAAGGGTGCCGGGAGGAACCAGAGGATAATGGTGAGATATGGAACACTACTGAGTGTTTTAAGAAAAAAAAAGTGTGTGGGGGGGGGGACGACTGCTGGAGAGATGGCTCAGAGGTTAAGAGCACTGACTGTTCTTCTAGAGGTCCTGAGTTCAATTCCCAGCAACCACATGGTGGCTCACAGACACCTATAATGAGATCTGGTGCCCTCTTCTGGCCTGCAGGGACACATGCAGGCAGAACACTATACATAATAAATCTTGAAAAACAAACAAAAAACGGCCAGAGGCGGCGGTGGTGACGCACACCTTTAATCCTAGCACTGGGGAGGCAAAGGCAGGTGGATTTCTGTGAGTTTGAGGCCAGCATGGTCTACAGAGTGAGTTCCAGGACAGCCAGAACTGTTACACAGAGAAACCCTGACTCAGGGTAAAAAAGAAAAATGGAGGGACAGGAGAAATGGTCCAGAGCTTTAAAGCACTGTTTCACTTTTGCAGTGGGCCCAGGTTCAATTCCTAGCATCTATATGGTGGCTCACAACCATCTTAACTCCAGTTCTGAAGGATCCGACACCCTCTGACCTGCAAGCATCCACACCATACACATGCATACATGCAGACAAAACAGTCATAGGCATAAAATCAATAAATTGAAAAATGTTTTTGAAAATGGAGACCAGAAAAGAAAACGCAGTGACACAGATCCCCCAGTGTCCCCACTGACTCATTTCTCCTCCCTTCCTGTAGCAAAGCCCAGAGCCCTACCCAAGCTGGACTTGAGAGGCCTCCTCTTATCGGAGCTCCACTTGTCCTCGGGGAGGTGGTCAGCCAGAGCAGCAGCAAGCACATCCTCAGTCAAAGACATGGCCTGGGCTATTTGGATTATGCGACGGCCAATGATGTTGAGGGCTTCCCGGTGCATTATCCCCCGTACAACAGCTGTCCTCTCAGGCCCAATGTAGCTCATCACGTCCTGTGCAGAGTACAGAGGGATGGAAGACCATGGTCCAGTGAAGAAAGCACACAGGCACTTGCTCCTGCCCCCTACCCCCTGCATCTTTTGAGAGAGCCTCTTGTTACATAACCCAGGCTGGCCTGCAATTTGGGAGTCTCTGGTCTCAGCTTTCCAAATGATGGAATTACAAGCATTATGCCCAGCTCTGGCTCCTGTCTTAAGGAATTTGGCCTATTGTTACCAGTCAGAAGGTTATACCACTCTCTAGACTTGTTTTTTCTCTCTCTGTTTTCTGGTTTTGCTGTGTATATAAAGATATAGTTTGTGCTGGAGATGTGGCTCAAAGGTTAATAGCACTGGCTGCTCTTCCAGAGAACCCAGGTTCTATTCCCAGCACCTACTTAGTGGCTCACAACTGTCTGTAACTCTAGTTCTAGGGGATCTGATGGCCTCCACCTGCCAGACATACACACAGGCAAAACAATCATACATGTAAAATAAGATAAAATTCAAAAAGCAAAGGTTTATGTATGCAAACACTCATACGTATGAGTGTTTGCATACATATATGCTTGTGTATCTTGTGGATGCCTGGTAATCAGTGAGTCCTGAAGAGAGCATTGGATCCCTGGGATTGGAGTTAGACAGTTGAGAGTCACCATGTACACGCCAGGAACTGAACCTGGGTCCTCTGCAAGAGCAGCAAGCACTCTTAACACTGAGTCATTTCTCCAGCTCCCCCCCCCCCCCGCTTTTTTTTGTTAGTTTTTTAAGAAAAGATCTCACATAACCAGGTTGGCCTTGAGCTATGCAGCTGAGGATAAACTTGAACTCCTGATCCTCCTGCCGCCACCTCTCCAGTTATAGGCATGCACCACCATGCCTTTTTTTCCATGGTGTTTTCTTCATTAACTTGACATGCCTGAGCATTAAGCTTATATGAATAATTTCATGTATTTCCATTTCTTTTTCCTTCCCAGTAGACACAGGTACAGTCAACACGTAAATCTTTAGGAACTGGTAAAACAGTGTACTAGAAACCAAGAGATGGCATTGCCAAGCAAGAGAAGCAGATTCAATGAACAAATGAGAGTGTGGTCTCTGAAAAAGGCACGTGGACAGAGCCAGGCGTGCACACAGCGTTACATCTAAGGGGGGCCAGCTGGAAGTAACACAGATGTCTGCTGGGCAGTGGTGGTGCACACCTTTAATCCCAGCACTCGAGAGGAAGAGGCAGAAGGATCTCTGTAAGTTTGAGGCCAGTCTAGCTTACAGAGTAAGTTCCAGGACAACCTCCAAAGCTACACAGAGAAACCCTGTCTGGGGGTAAAAGAAAAAAAAAAAGAAAAAAAAATATATATATGTTCACCACTAAGAGGGCAAACATTAGACTTGTTTATACAGTGACACATGTCATTACAAATGGTTCTCTAAAATCCCAAACAAAATCAAAGCAGCAAAAGAATGTACAGTATAATAAATATGTCTATGTTTTAAAATATGTAAAATTGGCTTGGGTCGGTGGTACACACCTTCAATCCTAGAACTTAGGAGGCAGAGGCAAGTAAAGCTGTGTGAGTTTGAGGCCAGTATGGTCTACACAGCAAGTTACAGGACAGCCAGGGCTACATCGTAGAGAGACCCTGTCTCAAAAAAAAGGAAAATTGTACTGGAAGTATCAGGAAGCCTAGGTTCAAGCCTTGGGGCTTGAACACACACAGGCACAGTGGAGCATGCCTGTAATTCCAGCACTTGAGAGGCAGATGGAGGAGGACAGGAAATTCAAGACCACCCTCGGCTACAAACTGAGGCCAGCCCTGGTTACATGAGACACTGTTGATAAAAAACAAATAATCACTAGCACCTTAACCACACACCAGTCTCTGGTTTAAAAAGACCCACGTTGATATAATTGAATAATGACACTGGTATGCTTATTGTAAAATGTGGAACTTTCTGTAGCATGTGGGAGGTACAGGCAGCACCCGAACCCCTCTAAGAAGCTGGCCTGGGAGAGGGAGGATGAGCTGACAGAAAAGGCAAGTGGCCAGCAGCTCTTCTCACCCTACCTGGGGAAGAAGGGAGGAGTGTTCGGAGATCATGTACACAGTCAGGGAGCCCTCTGCTTGCTTCTCCGGCTCAAATAATACGGCTTCTGCCTCTGGGGATAACAGTTGTGACACACCCAAAGCAACATTATTACAGCTTTCCCAGGACCCCAAGGTGCTTGAGACACCCCTCCACTTACACTCAACAAATGCTGCAGCCAGGCTTGAGCAGGCCACTCCAACTTTCAGCCCATAGGGGGACTGGGCTGAACCCCAAGGCATCTCATTCCCAGCTTTCTCAGAGAAGCTTTGGAAGTTAAGACACAGCATGAAAATCACACTTAGGAGATGTCCTAGTTAGGGGACTATTGATGAAACACCATGAGCAAAGCAACCCGGGAAGAAAAGGGTTTATTTCAGCTTATACTTCCAGGTCCATCACTGAGGGAAGTCAGGGCAGGAACTCAAATGGGACAGGAACTTGGAGACAGGCGCTGATGCAGAGGCCTTGGTGGAATGCTGCTTACTGGCTTGCTCCTCATGGCTTGCTCAGCCTGCTTTTTTTTCTTTTTCTTTTTTTTTTTTTTTTTTTTGGTTTTTCAAGACAGGGTTTCTCTGTGTAGCTTTGGAGCCTGTCCTGGCACTCGCTCTGGAGACCAGGCTGGCCTCAAAATCACAGAGATCCACCTGCCTCTGCCTCTTGAGTGCTGGGATTAAAGGTGTGCACCACCAATGCCTGGCTTGCTCAGCCTGCTTTCTTATGGAACCCGAGATCACTAGACCAGGGCTGGCACCTCCCACAATGGGCTCTCCCCATCAATCACTAAGTAAGAAATGCCTTACAGTTGGGTCTTATGGAAGCATTTTCTCAATTGAGGTTCCCTCCTTTCAGATAACTCTATCTTGTGTCATGCTGACATAAAACTAGCCAGCATAGGAGAGCAGAAGGAAAGAGAGAGACTCATCAAAATTGTCCTACCATGTACATTGCCTAGTGACAATGCCTCCTCCTCGTGGTCCAAAGCTCTCCGGTAGGCCTTCTGGAATCGACACTTGATTTTCAATTTGTCTGAAAGGAAGAACACGTGAAGGGTATTTACACCTCACCTTCCTGCCCAGCTGGGCACTTCCAGTGTTAAGGACACTAGGATGGCTCTTCAGAGAAAGAACAGGTACCAAGTAGGAACCTGCAGCCATGTGTGGTGGAGCATGTCTCTTAGTACTTCAAGGTCTATATTCAGCCTGTACCTCCAGTCACTCCTGTTGTTTTACTTAGAACTTCAGCAAGGCAAAACTCAATCATTCACACCTCCACGAGTCAGTCATATAGGAAAGGTGTCATTATCAGACCTGAATTTAATCCCAGCTCACGTTTACCAGCTTTGTGATTTAGAGCAAGATAAATCCTATAAATCTTGATTTCTTCATTTATAAAATGAGAATCATTTTGCTAGGATTAATTGAGGCAAATGTGTATAGCCATCTGCCTGGCCTCCTGCAGACAGTGTGACTTATACCAGTCATTTTCCTATCTGTTCACAGTATTCCTTCTGTCTGGAAGGCTTTCCACTCTTCCCATTTAATCTGACTCCTATATGTCCAGTTTCTAAAATCCAGCTTCAAAAATCACATCCCTCAGCTGGGAGGTGGTGGCACACACCTTTTATCCCAATGCTCAGGAGGCAGAGGCAAGTGCATCTCTGTAAGCTTGAGGCCAGCCTGGTCTACAGAGTGAGTTCCAGGACAGTCACAGCTGTTACACAGAGAAACCCTGTCTCAGAAAAAAACAAAAGCAAAACCTATTGGTTAAATCCCTCTCCACCGTTCTTTCCTCTCTGACAGGTGAGGATGGAATCCAGGATCTCCTGTGCCACTACCACTAAACCAAACTCCAACCTTACATTATTTTGCCTGTTTCTTTCTCCCTGATGTGACTATAAACATCTTGAAAACATCACCAGTTTATTATTCATCCTCAAGTTCTGGCACCTAACCAAGTGCCTAACAATAAAATGTATGAGGTTAGAATGACCAGGGACTGAATACATACCCGGTCTAACTTCAGACTTGTGTTCTTTTAGATACAGCCTGCTTTCTCTATAGACTGATGGGTAGCAACTGATATTGATATGATAGCATAATTCGCCTTATGAGTTAAATTACTGTAACAACAGACACTTCACTTAAGGCTAACTCCCCCCTTCCTAAATAAGCACATGTTCATTACAAAAGAGATCTCTTTTTTTGGGGGGGGGGAGTGAAGGAAGGGGACAGGGAGATAGCTCAATGAGTAAAGGTACTTGCTACCAAGCCTGATGACCTGAGTTGAATTCCCCAAGACCCATGTGGTAGAAGGAGAAATGACTCCCACAAGTTGCTTTCTGACCTCCACATAGCGTTCCACAGCGCGCGCGCGCGCGCGCGCGCGCGCGCACACACACACACACACACACACACACTAAATGTAGTAAAACATTTTAAAGTTATGGCACGCCCACGCTTCTCCTATGGAATCCAACTCTAGTTTTTGGGTCTGGCTCAGATGGAGAAAGCAGCCCTGACACCCTCTCTCCGGGGAACTCACATTTCAGAGGGATTTCTCGCTCATGCACAACGGTGAAGGGTAGCTTCAACTGGTCGTCCAGGGGCACAGAGTCCCGAGTAAACACAACTGTAACTGGCACCGTGAGCCGGAGCTGCGCGGAGGAGGGCATCGGGGCCTTTAGCAACGTGTGCACCTTGCGGTGGGCTGCTCCCCTTCACCCGGGTCCTCCTCACTCAAGTCTCACCTGCAGGGCATTCAGCCTACTGATCTGGGAATAAGGCAACGGGGCCCGGTAGGTCTCCGTGGTCTTCCACCAGAGCGGCAGTCCCAGCAGAATGGCCACCGCGGCGAAGAACAGCGCGGCGCGCTTGCCCCGGACCAACTCTGAGGGCACAGGGGGACGACTGAGGCTCGGCAACCTGGGTGCAATGCCCGCCACACCGCGATCGCAGAGAAGTGTGGGCTGCCAGGGTCCCCGTGCGAAGCCGCTCCCGCGTGGCGTGCCCCCGAACCCAGGATGGAGGGACCTGTCTGGCGCCCCACCCACACATTCTGCCCTCGAGACCTCCCCGCCGCTCCCTCCACCCGAAATCCACCGCACCTAGGTCGGTAGCCGAGGCTCCGGCGGCCGCCATGCTCGCTTCCGGCTGCCCAGGTCGTCGAGGGGCGGGGCCTCGTAAGCTTCCTCCAATAGGAAGCCCCAGCATGAAGGGGCGTGACCGCGGCGCTAGACCGCTGCCAATTGCGAGCGACACCCTAGACGCGCACGAGTGCGCAGGCGGAGCCTGTGAGCTGGTATCCGCCAGGCAGGGCGTTTGAGCTGAACCTCGCTTTCCCACGGACGCGCCCCGCATTGCCAAGCTCCACAGCGCCCGCTCAGAGAGAAGGCAAGACTCGCTAGGTACCCCAGGCTGGCCCTCAGACTCTGGGAGAGCCCCCTGCCTCAGCTTCACAAGTGCAGGGGATTACAGGCATGCATCCCTGCCCCAGCGAAAGGAAAATATTTATTTCAGTGAAGCCAAGCTTATCAAGAGCCTGACTCTGGAAAAGCTTTCTAATGTCATCCCTAGCATAGGGCTTCTCTTCAGGAAGTTCTCTTTGAAGCTTAAAGACAGAACTGACAAAAACGGTAACGTTTTTTGTATGATTGGCTGACACTCTGGAATTAATTTCATTTTAATTGATTTAGTAAGTTTTGAGACGGATTTCCCTACAAGACCCAGAAGTGATCCTGTTCCCATTGCCTCAGTCTCCCAAGTAGCTGAGACTATAGGCACAGGTCACCATATCCAGCCTCTGGAATTTAAAAATCGGTTCCAATTTGGAAAAGTCAGGATGCTTAATTGAAAATTCCTGAGCACAGATTCTGTATCCTAATGACTCCGGCTCAAATCCTGGTTTCACTTATTACCTAACAGCAGCTCCGAACCTGTTTCCTCTATGAAAAAGACTATAGTGCCTACTTTACAGAGTTGTGTTAATACAATAGTGGTTAGAAGCCCACAGCAACTGCTGAGTTAGCTGCTCTTTTGTTGTAAGGTCAGGCCACACAGAACAGAGCAGCAATAATTTCTCCAGTTCACAGGACACAGCCAGTCTAGTGTAACCCTACCTCACACTCTAACCCAGTGGTCAACATTGAGCACAAGGTCCTATCAGTTCTAACATTGCCCAGACTCTCAAATGGATCCCTTCTGTACTTGGAAGTGGGGCCATAGTCCTTGGCAAGCTCCTAGATACCCTACTCAACTCTGGAAGCCCAGAGTCATGGAAGGTTTCCTTTTTGGAAAGGGCCTAAGTGCACGTTCATCCCTAAATGTCAGGCCCCAGCAGGAATCAACAATGCTGAGATGGGAGAGAATTGGCCCACACTCATCCCTGCTTGTCCTGTTGACTCCCTGCTTTGAGCCCTGCATAAAATCTGTTTCAGGAGTTGCTCATCGTGCTACAACTGCAGTCCCGTGCCTCTGATGTGGCAGCCCTGGAAGACTTGTAGCCCCCATTACACCCTCTTACAACTCCACTCCAGCTTTGGAGATGATCAAGTAGGAGCCTCAACTAGGGATGGTGAGCCAGGTGAACCCTTCTTCTATAAACTTGAAGCCCAGGAAAACTCAGATCTCACCTCTCCACCACCATAGGCAGAGGGCTCTGAGATAGGATGGACCAGCAGATCACACAAGGGGGGGTGGGGGGAAGGGCTTTGATGTGTGCAACAGACAGACAGAGTAGTGTGTTTTGCTCCCATTTATTTGCTATGTACTCAGGGCATGAGTCAGGGCTGGTGTACTTCCCCAGATCCCAAGAGAGAGCCCAAGGACAAGCTACACCATCATGGGAAAACTGTAAGGGCTGATGGAACCAGGGGAAAGACCCATATGTTCTGTTCTGACTTATAGAAAAGTCCCCCTTCCCTCAGACTTGGGGGGCCTCCCTGCCCTCCCATCCCGTGGTCTTGGGTGCAGTGATGTGAGACAGAAAAAGGAGAGAAAAGGATGAGTTGGTGCTGGATGAAGACATCTCTGTTCTGCATGGCTATCTGGCCCTGGCTGTGACTACAGGGTGCATATTACTAGGCCAAGGGCTGTAGGTTGAGTAGGCACACCTCAGTAGGCATGGTTGGCGACATAGAGCGACTGTGCTGCTGCTCCTCCATCTCCACTGCCTTCATATCTGCCCTGGGCTGCAAGCCCATTCATCTGTAAGAGAGAATGGGGGCAGGTAAGCAGGCTGAGCCAGACCATCGGTGTGGAACCCTGCCTAGTTTGGGACATCCGTGTGCTACACACAATCTCTCCCCAGTTATCACCTCTGGCTTCCTACCTCTGCCCGTTTGATAAACTCCTCAGTAGCAGCCCCAGCATTGTCCCTTTGTCCTCTCCAGGCATTGAGTGCAGATGCCTGCAGGGCACGTCCATAGGAGAAGGTGAGGGCCCAGGGCCGGGGAAGTGGGCAGCGATTGATGGCATTGAGGTTGAGGGATGCCTCCTCTTCACTCTGACCCCCAGACAGGAAAGTCACTCCTGGAGTTGAGGGAGAAGACAAACTGACTGGTCATTCTCTAATTTTTCCAGATTGAAGGATTCCTGTGCCACAGAAAAACCTGAAGTCAGACCGGAAGTAATAGGAGTAATTCTGTACCTGGGACAGCTGGGGGCACAGTACGACGAAGAGCAGTGACAGTAGCCATGGCAATCTCCTCTGGACTATACTTGATGGGACAGGCATGACCAGGGGTCACCATGTTGGGCTTGAGCAGAGTCCCTTCCAGGTATACATGATGATCACTCAGGGCCTTGTACACAGCAGCCAGGACCTGTGGATCAGAGGAAGTTTATGTAGGGCTGGGACCACTGTTTGGTGTGCTATGCTTTCCATCCAAGGGTGGGTAGTTGCAGGATGTGAGGGTTCAGTGACAGGCTCATTCTCTGAAGCCTGTTTTGGAGTCAGCAAAGAGCTCTAAGTGAGAGGGTGCCTGGATCTAAGATGCAGGAATGGAGTCCAAGCACCTGATGGCTGTCCCTGACATGTCTGAGCTCAGCTGAGCATTACCTTCTCTGTAACATACTGGCAACGTTTGAGGTCATGGTCTCCATCAGGCAGGATCTCAGGCTCCACAATAGGCACAATACCATTCTGCAAGCAAGAGCATGGTTAATTGGGAGAAGCAGATGATGGGATAGGAGAAATCTATGAAAGCATACCTCCACCAGGCATGGGGCACTCATCCACCCACCCAAACCCCAGCACACACCTGCTGGCAGATGCTGGCATAGCGGGCCAGCACATTGGCATTCTCTATAATTGCCAGCGCTGAGGGTGTACGATCGCTGATCTTCAGTACACAGCGCCATTTGGCAAAATCAGCACCATCCTTCTTATACTGAGAACAGCGTTCCAAGAGTCCATCCAGCCCTGAAAACACAGTACCAGCTTCATCATCCTGCCCCTATCTTGCCCAGCATCAACCATGTCACCACCTCTGTGGACTTCAAACCCACCTACGACATACCTTGAGTGGTGGTTTCCCCATCAGTTCCAGCTAGAGGCACTACACCCTTGTCAACCTGCAAGGAAAATAAGTAGAGGGCTGGCCTTGCCACCCCTCCTACATTCACCAGTTTCCACACCCAGGTCCCAGGCAGGGCCAAGGGCTTTATACCTTGATGCCTACGAGAATGCCCTTATCCTGGATGGTCTGGACAAAGGGGACACCATTATCATCTTTCTGGTAGAATGTCTCATGGAAGAAGATAACGCCACCAATACACTTTTTCACACGGTCATCAGCGCTGAATAGAACCTGGCGGTACAGCCGGCGATTCTCCTCAGTGTTCTCTACCCCAATTTGGCTCAGCCTTTTGGCCATGCTGCCTAGAAGCAAGCAAAGGGAAAACAGCCTTGTTCTTTGGCTGGATCTTCTTGGCAGCTTCTCCTCAACCCTGACCATAGGCTCTCACTTACCTACGGACTCATCTGCAGCCAGAATGCCTTTGCCTGGGGCCACGATCCGTAGGGCAATATCAGACAGCTCCCTCTTCTGCTCAGCAGAAAGAGCTGGGTACGAGTGGGGCATGGTGACAGCTGTCCAAAACGGAGACAAGACAGAAAAGCTAGACCCCCAACTACTAACTCCTCTGCTTCCTCTCCTGACAAAACAAGTCAAATGCCCTTCCCAGCACAGGGCCAGGAGCTGAACAGCAGTCCTTGGCCTGAGTCCTGGGCATCAAAGTGGCACCAATCTCTTTGACAGCTAACAGGGTTAGGGCCCTAGTTCCCACATCTCCTTTTGTCCCTGGTGGGCACCCTTCCCAGCTCCAGAAGAATGACTGGATGGGGGATGAGGAGGTGGCAGCCCTGAAGCTATGGGTCTTCCTGGAAACTACTGCCCAGTTGAGAATGCCAACTCCTCTTTCACTGACTCTGGCCCCTTCTTGAGGTAGACATAAGACCTGCATTTTCCTGCTTCCCTTTTCTTTGCTTCAAAGGGGCCCCTAAGAAAAAAAACAAAAGAACATATTTTCCCCAAGATTTATGGATGAAACAATTTAACCCACATCATCCTTCCCCACATCTAGAGGAAGGCAGGGGACAGGGTAAAGGGTAGCAGTGGTAGAACAGCCCCAGCTTTCTATAACCTCTTCTTTTCTATACTGAAACCTACTCCTCATACCTGTGTTGGAGATTGGCCCCATAGGGCTGCAAGTATGGTAGGAAAGAGGGCCAACAGACCAACTAGCTTTATGTAAAGGGGACACCCAGGTCATCTCCCATACCCAGAAGCATTCCCCAGTGTGCAAGGAGGCACAGGAAACAGGAAGGCTTGGCTCCCCACAACTCCTAGTGAGGACCCAGAGGCAAAGGGTTAAGGTTGCGTGAGTGCAGTGTGGGGAAAGGGAGCAAGAGAAGCAGGAAGGAGCCTTGGGGGAAGGTGGGACAAGTGATGATGATGCAGGCTAACCAGTCCTGATACTCTTCCTGGGCCTATAGCCTAGACCTGGGGAGGACCAGAAATGGACTGAGATTAAAATGCCCTTGGTGGGAGAGGTTAACGCAGTGAAAAAGTCCTGTGTAAGACTTGGAACTGGGAAAGCTGAGTTCTAGCTGGGAGAGCTAGGAGGAAGGGGTTAGCAGGGTTTTCCTGAGCCACGGGGCTTCGAGCACACAGAAAGCAGAGGATGTAAGGCTAGAATTGAAAAGGTACACCAGGGCCCCAGGGAGCAGAGCAAGGACCGCAGGGGAAGAGCTAAGGAGAGGAACAGGGATGCTGAACGTCTCCACCACGCCTGGGACCTTACCTGTACCAGTCAGCGGCAGGAGCCACAGCCACTGCTCACTCCGGGTCTGGTTAGCAACAGACAGTACCTCGGTCCAGGCTGGAGTAAATAAGGCAGCAGATGCCGCAGAGCTACGTGATTCCTTGGGGTGGAGCAAATACCTCCCGTACTGGTCCCGCCCTCTTCTCAGGATTGGACTGGGGTAAGGCCACGCCTTCAGAGGTGGAGCAGTGGGGTGGAGTGACTCCTCCGTCAGGGTCCCCAAGGTTGTTAAAGACAATGCCCCTCCCACATCATGGAGCCCTGCCATCAGAACCCTAGAGGAATGAGGTGGCCTTGTGTTTTGTGTCAGGGATCCATTTTTTGCTGTGAAAGGCATTATGCTGAATGCTGGAGATTAAGCCTGGTCTAGAGAAAGGACATCTAAACAATCAGCAGGTGGACGTGGACAGAAGCCCACCTAACAGGGTGCCCCAGTTCAAGGCATGGAATAATGAAATTGAGTTTCTGCTCTCTGCCCCACATTTACCAGTGCCTACCCCGTGGGGGTTGGGGAAAGTAAATGAATGGAATCTTTTCTGTTCCCCCCCAGGCAGTGATCCAGGGAACAGGCAGTCCATTGCTCATTATTCGTGGAAGCAAGAGAATAAGCAAAGAGAAGCAGACAGCCCTGGTTTTAGCTGCAACAGGAGATGGTGAGGGATTGTGAAGGATACCAAGACTGGAGGAGCTGCCTCCCTGATTTCATCTGCCCACTCCTACCCCCAAAATAAGATCCAGTGGATGTAAGAACTACATTAAATATACTTTATTTAAATAACATAAAAACAGTTGGCTATATGCCAATTCCTATTACTGGGGTAAGGGATCCTGAAGGGAATGAAGTGGAATCCAGCCTTCAGTTTCTTTGCCGTGCTGTCCACTCTAGTCTCAAACTCTTGGAGTAAGCAATCCTCCTGCCTCTGCCTCCGGAGTAGCTGGAACTGCAGGTGCAATATTTTCAGTTTCTTAGCTCAGAAACTCCAGCAATCTTTGTAGTTCTTTGCAACTCTTCACTACCTCTGGGACAGACAGCAGAGTCTGGAAAGAGGCAGAGAAAACAGCTCTGAATCACAAGGCTGAAGCCAAAGCTCCTGGCCCGTGAGGCTAGAGGAGGGAGACCTACTGGCAGAGGACAGGCCTAGCTCCCAGCACAGGCTGAGAACCAGAGCTGAGCCCCTCAGTTCTCTGCGGCCAGGTCCTGGTACCTCCCTCACTTTTACCTCGTAGATATACTGGATAGTGTCATCCAGTTTCTTTAACTCAGTGTCAGAGCGCCGAAGGTTCTCCTCAAGAATGTTCCTCTAAAATACAAACAGGCTTCATAAGCCCTATACTTAAAAGACCATAGCTAGAGAAGACACGGGCAACATGGCAGGGTGCTTGCTTGTGGTGGAAGAAAACAATTCCTTACATGGCTCTGATACTTGATCACCAGTTTTGCTTTCTCGTTTTTCATCTCCAGGAACATGGCCCTCAGCTTGTCCACCTTATAAATATGTCCACATTAATAGGGGCACAGCCTGGGGTCCCCAGTAGGTGCCCAGATCCTTGGTTAACTTGAGTTACCTCCTGTGAGAGAGAGACTTTTTCCTGGATCCAGTTAGTAGCCATCAGCTGACAGCTGGGGTCTAGCTGGCCCTCCAGAGCTTCCTGGAGCACTTTCGTCTCTGTCTCTGCATGCCGCAGTAAACGTGTGAGCTGGGTCACCTCCTCCTTGAGACTCTGGGAACAAGAGCAGAGTAATCCAACAGCACTCGGGGGTCCTTTCTCTCTTTACTCCATCAGGTGGGAGAAGCAGAGGCCTCACAACATCACTAGGAACTTACTATGAGCTCACCACTCTTGTCTATCTGCCCTAAGATCTTCTCGTTCTGCTTCTGTATCACTTCCTGGAGCTCCTTTTCATTCTGTGAAGAAAAAAAGAGGAGAGAAAGCTCTGAGGAAAGGCTAACTTTTGCAGCCCTTGCCAGAAGGCAGGACAGAATGCCTTCGCTGTGCTCAGCCTTGGGGATTAGTTCATATCAGTCCAATTTTTCTTCAGGGCCAAGTCAAGTATGGCATATCTTGGTTCAGAGCTCTGCTTCAGTTCTAGGCTTCTCTCCTGGGTCTGCTTGAATGTGACAGGTCGGCCCAGAGCAAAGTCTCAGATATCAAATGTCTGACCCCAAAAGGGCAAAACTAGGGCAGCAGTTGGAAAACCCCCACTACCTAGATTCCTAGAGAGTGGTTCCCAGTGGGCTGGTGGAGCCGCCCCAGTTCTTCATCGCCCCACTTTAAGGTCCCTCCTTCACCTTATAGCATAAGCACAAGGCCTGGTTCAGCTTCTCTATGTCTGCCTCCTTTGCCTTCAGGGCTTCCTGATGCTCTTCCTCTTGGTCCTGCAGTCTAGTCTGCAATTCACAGCTATGGGAGGGAAGAAGTCGGCATCATTCCTGTACTCAGCCCTTGGCATGAGGGGCGCTCTCATCACCCCCTATCATCAACACCTCTCACATTTTTCTCTGCAGGGCCCCAATGGCTTCTTCTTTAGACTCCTGCAGCAGAGAACACAGGCTCTGAAGCTCTAGTAACATAGTACTCATTTCTGATGAGCTCTTCTCCAGTCCTGGGGTCTCTGAAAGAGGAAGTCCTAGATAGAAATACAGCCCTTCTGCCTAGGATGGGCTACACAACCACATTTCCACGTTTTGTTCCCCACCCACAAGACTGTAATATCCGGAACATCACAGATCCCAAAAGACAGGAATAAAACAAGCCCAAGTAGAATCGAGGTTTTTAGAGCAAAGTACTTCTCTCTGCTTTTGTCTTTGCTCGTGGTCCCTGGAGCCCATCCTAACCTGTAGGCTGAAAGGAAATCGTTGATGCTACTCGGGTGAAAGCACTCTTATCACTTCCAAGCAATGGCACGACGGGAACTGGTTCTGGCTCTAAAGCAAAAATAAACCATGTATGTTCATCAACTTAGAAATTCAAGGCCATGGTGAACTACATGAGACCACGTCTCTGGAAAACAATCGAACATGAACAAACAAACAAATAAACAAAATTTAAAAAAGTGAAGCATAGGGGCTGGAGAGATGGCTCAGACGTTAAGAGCACTGACTGCTCTTCCAGAGGTCCTGAGTTCAATTCCCAGCAACCACATGGTGGCTCACAACCATCAGTCATGAGACCTGGTGCCCTCTTCTGGTGTGCAGATATACATGGAAGCAGAATGTTGTATACATAATAAATAAATAAATAAATAAAATCTTAAAAAAAAAAAAATGAAGCATAGAGAAGGTCTCTCTGGTGGCCCAACCAGGGGACTGAAGCAGTGGAAGTGGGGTACGACAGACAAGCCTAGTGGTGTGCATCTGTGCCACCCTCCTTAAACCCCAAGGTCTTTAACCTTCATCTGCCACTGCTGTCAGGGCCTTTTCTGAAGCAGTGCTATCATCAGGCAGAAGGTGTTCCTGGGCTGGAGCACAACCTGTGCTGGGCAGAATGATCTCTGATTCAGCCTGAGGGCAAAGGAGAAAAATAACATAATCAGCTGCTCAGCCGCACTTGAGGGTGACGTCCTGGGCCACCTTTCCTGGGCCACACCCAGAGTGAGCTTCCACTCTACCTTCTGGTCCTACCCCAGCTTCCCACTACTGCCTTTCCCCAAACATGCGATGTGCTTAAGTCTCTCCCACTAAAACAACATTTTTCATTTAAAATGAAAAAACAAAACCTTAAATCCTTTAGCTACTACTGTCCTTTTTCTTATATTTAATTCTACCTATGACTTGACAACCAAAATTTTTGTGATTAGCACACATTTTTTTTTTGCTAGTTTATCAAGACAGAGTTTCTCTGTGTAGCTTTGGAGTCTGTCCTGGAACTCTCTTTGTATACCATGCTGGTCTTGAACTCAGAGATCCGCCTGCCTCTGCCTCCCTAGTGCTAGGATTAAAGGTGTGCACCACCACCGCCTGGCCCTTACCTTCTTTTTTAAAAAATATTTTTATTATTATTAACGTATGTATATGTATATGTGTCTGCATGAGTGAGGACAGGGATGTCAGATCCCTTGAAGTTACAGGAAGTTGTGAGCTGCCAGTTGTGGGTGCTGAAAACTGAACTCTAGTTCTCTGCAAGAAAAGTATGTACTCTTAACTGTCTCTCCAGGCCTGGCATCCTTTCCGTTCAAACATAACAGGTACTTCCTAGCTTACTTACTGGGCCTGTTTGATTCTGATGATCAGGCACCCTGGACACTTTTTCTTCTGGATCATGAATTGGATCATGACCATCCATCATGGACAGGCCTATAGAAATGCTTCGTTTCTCAGCTCCCAGGTCTTTCTTAACTCCTGGACTTCACACACCTACCTGGGGTTCTGCTCTTGGCCCTTTTTTGGCTCAGCTTCCAGCTGAGTGCTTTGTTTCCAGAACTCTAAAAAGCTTCCACTTCAGACCGTCATTTCCACATGAATGACTCTTTAATCCCTTTCACTCAACTGGATTATTTCCCAGTCTCTGGGCCCAAAGAAAACCACTTATGAATCTAGCAGAACGTTCCACATTAGAAACTAGTGTGTATAAAGCTAAGTACACCATTCCCTCTGTCCACTCTCAGTTCAGTATTTACTGTTCTGGGTCATGACAGGCAGCAGACTGTGGCTTGCCAACTGCTCTCATGTTTCAGGAGGACACAAGCCACATGCATTCCCTTCAGTACTGTCAGTGGTTACTCTTGAGCTGCAAGGCAAAGCTGAAGAGTTGAGACAGAGCCAGATGGCCCACTAAGCTGAAACACTTAGGATATGGTCCCTATATGGGAAAAGTATGCCAGGCCCATTTCCAGATGCCACTGTCACTTTCTAATAACTTTATGATCATTACCCATTCTTCTGCTTCTACATCAGTCACCAAATTCAATTACTTCTAAATCCATTTTTCCTTTTCCTTCTTTTGATGTGGTATGTGTGGTGTGAATCCATGTATGTATGTCTCTTCACATGTGTGAGTCTGCACACCTAAAATTGATGTCAGGACTCCTCCCCCACACCTCCCCAGACAGGGTTTCTCTGTGTAACAATCTTGGCTGTCCTGAAACTCTGTATATCAGGCTGGCCTCAAACTCAGAGATCTGCCTGCCTCTGCCTCCTGAGTGCTGGGGTTAAAGTTGTTTGCCACCTTTGCCTAGCTAATCAATTGATTTTTATGTATGTATGTGTTTATCTATTTATTTATTGTGTTTTTGAGACAGGGTCTATGTAGTCCTGAATTAAAGGTGCCACCACCACCTGGCTGTGTATAACTTTCTACATATAATTTCTCTCTCTCTCTCATTTTCTTTTAATTTAAATTAGAAACAAACTTCTTTTAGATGTCAAACCCAGTTCCCTCTCCCTCCCCTCCTCTCCACCCCTGCCCCCCACCGGCCCCCTATCCCAACTTTCTGCTCCCCAGGGAGGGGAGGCCTTCCTAAGGGATCTTCAAAGTCTGTCATACCATTTGGAGCAGGGCCTAGACCCTCCCCCGTCTCTCTCTTTTTTAAAAATTTAAATTAGAAACAATCTTGTTTCACATGTCAACTCCAGTTCCCTCTGCCTCCTCTCTACATATAATTTTCATGTTGCCTCTGGCTGGTGGGCTTTCCTACATGCCTGTCTTCCCTATAAACTTCTAAACATTGACTGCCAAAGTCAATCTCATGCTTTGAGAAGACATCCTAACACTCAGAGGTAAAAATGACCCTCCTTTTAAGTTCCCACAACAGTCTATACAAATCATAGTCATAAGTCACAATGACAACTTGACATCTGTCTGTCTTCCCTGCAGTTCACTGCAGAACTTTTTGCATTTTATGTGTTCAGCCTCCAGTTCGAGAAGAGGATCTTGGTTGTACCTCTAACTGTTGAATAAACTAATTCTAAATGCTGAAAAACACCTGTGAGTTCAAGGCCAGCCTAGTCTACTGAGTTGAGTTCTAGGACAGCCAGGGATACACAGAGAAACCCTGTCTCTAAAAAAAACAAATGAACAAAAAGAATGCTTTCTGCTCCCCTAGAGGACCCGAGTTCAGTTCCTAGCACCCACATGGGCATATCACAATAGACAGTAATTCCAGTTCCAGGGGATCCGCCTTCTTCTGGCTCCACAGGCACTGCACACATGTAGCATATACCCACCTAGATACACAGACATAATCATAAATAAAAACATAACAAAACATCTTTTTAAAAAGTCTATTCTATATAAGAAAGATGTAACTGGTGAACTGGGGAGAGGAATAAGGCTCAGTGGTAGAGTGTTTGTCTGATAAAGCTTAGTTAGTGGTAGAGTGTGGTCCTGCTATGTGTGAAGCCCAAGTTCAATTCTTAGAAATAAAAATGAAAAAGAAATGAGAAAAAGATACAATGGTATGGGAAGGAAACCCACTCACTGTCCTACCTTGTTCTCCTTTAGTTTTGCCTGTAAGAAGAGGGTGAGACTCTGCAGCTGCTCGGATAGCAGCCTCAGCTCTTGAGAATGCTGATATGTCTTCTCCAGAGCCTGTTTCTCATGCTTTGCTACAGTGCTGGACAGCTCAGCCCTGAAATTTGGGACCCAAAAGGTGAGCAAAAACCAGACACTGGCTCTGAACACTTCTCCCAGATCCCCCTTTTCTAGGAGAGACAGACTTAACATTCCCATGGTTCTCTTCAAGGAGACTTTGGTGGGAAAAAGAAGCATTGTGGGAACACAAGGCAGCAGGTTCTTACTTCAGGTTCTCCACAGTGTCCTTGAGGGCCTCACATTGCAGGCTGCGCTCCCGCAGCACTTCTAGTGTGGCTTTCAGCTGACACTCAATCTGGCCCAGCTCCAGATGAGCAACTTGACCCTCTTGGTCTGCAAACTGGAAAGATAGAAGGGGAGAGAAGGGGGAGGAAGGAAGGGGAGAGGAGGAAACTTTAGAGCTTGGGCCAGAGGCTTTCTCCAGTCCAGTCTTTAACTTCACCTCAACCCTAGCAGGCAAGAGTCACACTCCTGAGAGGTTTACCTACCCCTTGCTCCAAGGTAAACTGCTTACCTCCAAGGTCTCCTTCAAATCCTGTACCTCCTTAGCCAGCACAGCCTGTTGACACTGCAACTCTGCTTGTGTGTGCTTCAGTTCCATTTCCTCCTTTTGCCATCTGCCAATAGACCATCTATTAGATCCCATTGAGGCCCTCATGCTGGGTCTCTTGCCACAATAACCTGATAGGAACTCACTGTGCAGCCTGTTCCTTGATGCTCTGGGTAAGTTGACCCAACAACTCATCCTTCATGGCCAGGTCCTGGACACAATGGGTATGCTGGCTCTGCAGTTCTTTTAGTTGGTTGTCTGTGCTAGTTAGACTCTGCAGCTGAGCCCAGAGATCTAGATCAAAAGTATCCTACTGACACCATGGTGGCCCTAAGTCAGGACCCTACCACCACCAACACCACCACCATACATACACAATTTTGTCCCAAAGCAAGTACTCCATTACACCTTCCTACTATTCTGCCACACGACAAGCAGGGCAACTGTTTATGCACCGGCACAGACACTCATGTGCACACACTCACACAGGCACCTGTGGTAAGGCGACTATTTTCCGATTTCAGTTGTTCTATTTGGCCTTTACAGTCCTCTAAATGGGCAGACACTTGTTCAAGTTCCTTCAAAACCTAGAAAAGACAGTTTCCTTCCTACAGTTCCTCCTGAGTCAAGAACTCCAGGACTCAGTGCAGTTTTTCTTTATGGACAACAGTGCAAACTTCCAGAACAGCAGTATGCAGAAAATGAAGCTGACCCCCAGGAACAAATAGAGACAAGACAAATTACTAAGGGGAGGTGCTGGGACCAAAGGAAACAACTGAGCTCCTGACATCTTACAGCCAAGCAAAGTGAAAGCAGGCCTAAGTAGTGCCCCCCCCTCCAAGTTACCTGCTTCTTTTCCTTGATTGCAGCATCACGTTCCTGAAGGGCCTGCCGGCTCTTGGTTGTGAGTTTCTCTGTGAGTTCTCGAGACCGACTCAGCAAAGCTGCCCATGTTCCACACTACCAAAGTAATTGGATCAGTAGAGCACACTCAAGGATGGGAAACTGCCTCTAAGGGAGTGGCTGTGATGGCCCCAAATACTCACATCCTGTTGGATTGATGTCCAGTCCTGCTGCAAAGCAGAAGTCAGACTCAATGTCTGCTGAGCCAGCTCCTCTTGCTCTGTGTGAAGCCCTATCTGGAACAGAAGGATTAATGGAGGCATCTTGTCAGTGTCATGAGCTCCCAAAACAAAAAATGCCCTTAAATTACCAGTTGAGTTGGGAGTGGTGTTGCACACCTCTAATCAATCCCAGCACTCAGGAATCAGAGATAGGCAGACCTCTGTGAGTTCAATGCGAGCCTGGTCTACATAGCAATTTCTCAACTATATAGTAAGAGACTGTCTCAAAAAAAAGGAAATGACAGCTGGGTGGTTGTGGCTCATGCCCCTAATCCCAGCACTCCAGGAGGCAAAAGCAGGTTAGCCTGGTCTACAGAGCTAGTTCCAGGACAGCCAGGGCTACACAGAGAAACCCTGTCTCAAAAAAAATAGATAGATAGATAGATAGATAGATAGATAGATAGATAGATAGATATAGATGGATAGACAAGTCAAACAGACAAAAAGGAGATGACATTACCAGTTGGGTCTGGGCTTCCTGTAGAAGGCCTCTGAACTCTTGCATAGATGTAAAATCCTGTTCCAGTTGGCTGATGCGCTGGCTAGCATGTGCACGGAAAGCCTCCAGTACTGCCTCTGCCTGTTTAGGGAAAATGTTGCAAGGACTTGGTGTGTAACAAGAAAACAGCACAGAAGACCATAACTATAAAGTCCCCAGTAGCTCTTAATTCTGTCTCTTCTGTCTCAAGTCATTCCTACAGAACCTTGGAGTCCTTCCGCATCCAGAAGTTGCCAGCCACCTTACCGCATCTTTGCCGTGAAGGGCCATCTCCTCTCTGTGCTTTGCCTCCTCCCTTTCTGTTCTGAGGCTCTGGAGCTTTGCCCTCAGTTTCTTCAGTACATGAGAACAGGAGGAAACCAGGGTTTCTGCACGCCGAGACTACAAAAGAAGAACGAGATGCTATGTTTTGTGCCTTGTTCTTAGCTTATGGTCACCTACACGATGCTTACCTCCTGACTCACTGTCATTCTGTCTTCATTCATGTGTGTCAGGGACAGGTGAAGCAAAGATATCAGTTCTCTAGAGACTAACATCCATGATTGCTGTAGAAGAAAAGATAGCAAGGTTAGATCAAAGATAGTCATTAAGTAAGATGAAGAGACATTGCAGGGAAAAAGCTACTGATCCCCCAGTTCCAAGTTCTTAATAATGAGACATTCTTGACAGAGGTTTGAGATCTTCCCTTCACTGCCACAGCTATGGCTCACCATCTACTAACTACCCAGGATCCTCCATCTTTTAACTTCACAAGGGCCCCCAGTGGTATAAACTCAACCAACACTTACCATGACTGGCTGGGCTTGCAGCAGAGCCTGTCTAATCTCTTTGCTGTCCTGAAGATGTTTAGGTGTCTTAGTGACCTAGCCAAAGAAATAATTGCTCTTTTTAGCTGGATAACATACACCAGCAGCCTCTAATCTCCATCCTGCCAGTGACTTTCATATGAGATGGAAAAATTAGGCTCACAATCAGATGAAGCCAAGAGAGAAAGAAAAACCTAGGGGGAGCTGGCGATAATGTTAATTGTGCTTGCTTTCCAAACATAAGGGCCTGAGCTTGACTACTCTTGTAAAAAGTCCATGTAAAAAGCTGGGAGTGGGGCTAGAGAGATGGCTCAGTGGTTGAGAGCTGCTCTTGATGCTGTTATAGAAGACACAGGTCCAGTCCCTAGGACTTGGCTTGGTACCAAGCACTGAAACCAAGTGGCTCACAACTGCCTGTGTCTCCAGATCCAGATGACCAGATGCTTGATTCTGACCTCTGCAGACACATGTAGACATATGGTGTACTGTACACATACTCAAGCACACACACATACACATAAATGATAAATAAATCTTTCTTTTTAAAGCAGGATGCAAGCCGAGTGGTGGTGGCACACACCTTTAATCCCAGAGCTTGGGAAGCAGAGGCAGATGGATCTCTGAAGGTTTGAGGCCAGTCTGATCTACAAAGCAAGTTCCAGGACAGCCAGGACTGTTACACACAGAAACTCTTTGGTTGGCAAGGGATGCAATGGTGTGCCTTTAATCTCAGTGATGGAAACTGGTAGATCTCTGAAAGCTCAAGAGGCAGTGGGTCTAGCCTATATGACAAAGTTCCAGACCAATGTGAAAACTGGAATATCTTAAAGAAAAATATGAAAGATGCCTGAGGACTGACACCATAAATACTGTGACCTCCACACATACAGTGCATGCATACACACACACACATGTGAATTTGAGGCCAGCCTAGTCTACAGAGTGAGTGCCAGGACAGACAGGGATACATAGAGAAGAAACCCTGTCTCAAAAAACAAACAAACGCCCCCCAAAAAGCCATAATAAAACCAGGGTATATTAGCTAAAATATAAAATAAGGCAGGAGTCAGAAAGACGGTTCGGCAGCTAAGAAAGCAGGAGTTCAGTTTCTAACATGCCCTTGGAGGCTTACAACCATCCATGATTACAGCCATCCATGATTCCAGGTCCAGGGCATCTGGCCCCCTCTTCTGGCCCCCATGGGCACCAGATGCACATGTGGTACATATACATACATGCAAGCAAAACATACACACAAAATAAAGATTTTTTTCTTTAAAAATTGTGGCTAGGAGGCTGGAGAGATGGCTCACAGGTTAAGAGCACTGACTGCTCTTCCAGAGGTCCTGAGTTCAATTCCCAGCAACCACATGGTGGCCCACAACCATCTGTAATGAGATCTGGTGCCCTCTTCTGACATGCAGACATACATGGAAGCAGAATGTGTATGCATAAAAAAAAAAAAAAAAAAAAAAAAAAAAAAAAAAAAAAAAAAAGTTGTGGCTCAAAGCCAGGCAGTGGTGGTGCACACCATTAATCCCAGCACTAGGGAGGCAGAGGCAGGTACAGAGTGAGTTCCAGGACAGCTAAAAATACACAGAGAAACCCTGTCTTGAAAAGCAAAATAAAACAAAATTGTGGCTAGAGAAATGGCTCAGCAGTTACAAGTACTGGCTGCTCTTCTAAAGGACCCAAGTTTGGTTTCTAGCACCCACATTACAACTCATAACTATTCTAACTGTATAGTTCCAGAGGATCTGATGCCCTCTTCTGGCCTCCTCATACACCAGACACAGTGCACTGTGTACAAGTGGTACACTGACTTATATATGAAGGCAAAAACTTACACATTAAAAAAAAAAAATCATTACACCATTACAAGCTCATGTACACTACCATGCCAGTCTTCTGGGGACTGAACTCAGGTCTTCAAGCATGCTCACCATGCACTTTACCAACTAATCTCTCTCCAACTTCCTCTACCACCCCAAACTGTCCTTCCTCCGTGCAGTGCTGGAAAATGATCTTAGGGCCTCATCCATGCTAGGCAACTGCTGTGTGACAGGGCTTGATCCCAGCCCTATTTAAATTATTTCTATTTTCTTTTCTTTTTATTTACATGTATATATGTGTGTGCCTGTGCACATTGAGTGCACATATATGTGCCCGTAAGTGCAGGTACCCACAGAGGCCAGAGACATCAGAGCTAGAATTACAGGTGGTTGTGAACTACCCAATGTGAATGCTGGGAACAGAACTCTCTCTGGTCCTCTGGAAGAGCCAATATATACCCTCTGCCACTAAATCATCTCCAACCCCTATTTTCTTACTTTAGTTGTCTACTTTCTTTTTTCTTTTTCTTTTTCTTTTTTTTTTCTTCAAAGCAGGTTTTCTCTGTAGCTTTGGAGTCTTTCCTAGAACTTACTATGTAGACCAGGCTGGCCTCAAACTAACAAAGATCCTCCTGCCTCTGTCTCCCAAGTGCTTGGATTAAAGGCGTGCACCAATACTGCCCAGCTAGCTATCTACTTTCTTATGGCAAATAAAAATCTTTGCAAGAAGCTAGACCTGGTAGCACAGACTATAATCCTAGCCCTGGGGAGGGTGAGGCAGGATGGTTAGGAGTTTGCTGCCACTTAGGTTACAAAGAAATACTATGTTCAAAAGAGTGGGAGTTTTCATTACCACCCAAAGACAGACATAAGGGTACTGCAGAAGCAGCAGCGCTGAGTCACCGTGCACTGGCATTCTGGTGTTCAGCAGGCTCAGTCTCTTGGAGTTTACAGCCCCTTTCTCCAGCAAAGCAATCTATCTATGGCATTGTGCAGAAAGGCACAGAGTAACCCCCAAGTCCTGGACAAGGCCACACACACTGCTCAGAGCTGGGCAGTCAGGCAGGTGATAAGATTAATGTGAAGAGGCAGCCAAGCGGCAAGGACATGCATGGTGATGGTGAATGGCTGAAGGGATGTCATTTCCTTTCTCTGGTTCTGCTTCAGTGGCCTCCCAAAGGACCTGGCAGCTTCAGAGGAAAAGGACAGAAAGCAGATCTGGGGACACAAAATGAGGCCAAGGACAAGAAAAAAGATACAAAGAAATTTCAAGAAAGAAACTGGTCAGCTAGTGAAACAAGGAGCCCATGGTTTCCAGATTTGGGGGGAAAGGCATAGTTTGACAGTACTTGCAATTGAAGAGAGGGTTTTGGGGCACCATCTTCCAAGCATCAATCACTATAGTTACTACAGCCACGTACCGAGACTTTCCATTCTATCCCAACATGATTCTGTTGGACTCTAGCCTGTGATGTCACAGCTACAGTCCTCTAGAACAGTGCTCTATCACTAGTTTACAGAACCAACAAAACCCAAAATAAAACAGAAGATAGGGTTTCACATAGCTCAGATTGGCTCTTAGTTCACAGGTAGCTGAGGTAAACCTTGAACTCCTGAGTCTCCTAGTCTTCCTAGTTCCACTTCCCAAGTGCTGGGATTACAGGTACACACAATCATGTCCTGCTAGAACAGAGGTCTTTAAATTACTTTCCTCTCACTCAAGTTTGATTCCCAGCACCCACATCGGACAGTTTCAGCCTCCAAGAGCACCTCACATGAAGAATAAACTTTAAGGGGGGAAAAAATCTTAAAAGAAATAATTTCCTCTCATACCTATGTAGGTTTTTTGTTTGTTTGGTTTGTTTTTTTGGCTAAAATTTTTTCAATGCCTTTGTGTATGTGAGTGACTGCACAGGTGCAGGTAGGAGGACAACTTCTAGTAGTTGGTTGTGTCTACCACGAGGATTTTAGGGATCAAACTCAGGCCATCAGGCATGATTGTAAGCACCTTTACCCACTGAGCCATCTCAACAGCCCTTTTCTGGATTGTTTTTTCAGATTTATTTTTATTATTTTATTATTTTTATTTCTGTGTATGCCTCAAAGAGGCCTGAGGTGCCTGATCTCCCTGGAACTGGACTGATAGGTAGCTGTGAGATACCCAGTGTGAGTGCTGGCAACTGAACTGAGGTCCTCTGAAGACCAGTACTTACTCTTAACCTCTAAGCCAGCTCCCAGCCCCCTTCTCTCAACTTTTTTCTTTTTTCTTGTGGTTTTTCAAGATACAGTTTCTCTGTGTAACAGCTTTAGCTGTCCTGGAACTCTCTCTCTGTAGACCAGCCCCATCTCAGAGATCCACCTGCTTCTGCCTCCTGAGTGCTGGGACTAAGGTTAAAGGTATGTGCCACTATGCCCAGCCATCTCTCAATTTTTGAGAGTGTCTCATCCTGAAATCCAGCCTGGCCTGGAACTAATTAAACAGATCAGGCTCAAACTCACAGAAATCCACCTGTGTCTGCCTCCAAGTTCTGGGATTAAAAGACATGTGCCACCACCTCCCAGCCTTCAGTTTTAAAAAAAAAAAAAAGCTAGCCCCAAACTCTATAGCCCAGGCTGGCCTTGAATTTTAGGTCATCTTGCCTTAGCCTCCCAAGACCTGGTATTACATACATGTACCACCATGCATGGCTCAAGTTCTCAGTTTTTACACATATTCGAAGACTGAGCCTGTGGTTAAGGCAGCCTCCTTTCCCTCTGGCAGCTTTTCAGCTAATGTCTAAGGCAGAGGGTCCACTGGGATCCTCCAAGCTCTATGAAGAAGCTTCTTACCCCACAAGGAGAGCGGTCAGTCTGTGTGCTACTGTCTTGAGATTCCCCTCGAGGGACAGTGAGCTGCCTCTTCCAGGCTTGTAGCTGGTGGGAAAGAACTTCCAGCACAACAAGGGAGTTCAACAGGTTCTCCTCCAAGTCATGTCGGGACAAGGCAGTCAGATCCAGAGGACCGCAGCTGCCACAGGAAAGAAAAGGACAGAGATTCCAGTGGCAGGTCTAGAGTGTTGGTGCTCCAGAGGCACAGGCTTGGAGGGGACACTTACCCTAAGAGGAGGCGCTCTGTCTCTGAAGTACTGTGCTTGGTGCCTACTTCTGGTGGCACTGGAGGAGTAAAAGAAGTTCCCACAGAACAAGTGGAGAGGGGCGTGTTGCCAATAGCAGCATCTTGAAGCACAGAAGGAAAGGATAACCTCTGGCGGAGATTTTGTAGCATGACTGACGTATTCACACCTTTTTCTAGCCAGGCCAATGGGGACATCCACGTCTCTGCATCTAAGCCAGGATTTCTACCAGCACCTTCTGTAGTTGGGCATGGAGCTTCCTGGGGTCCCATTTCTACTAGATTTGATGTCAGACACAACGATGGATCATCTTCTGCCTTTGCAGCAAGTGCTTGGTCTCTCAATTCAACCTCCTCAGGGCATGTGGGAAAGCTCTTTTCATTTTCCTGTGTAACTCTGTACTCTACAGTTTCCTCCCCTGGATTTTCCTGTGTAACTCTGTACTCTACAGTTTCCTCCCCTGGATTTTCCTGTGTAACTCTGTACTCTACAGTTTCCTCCCCTGGATTTTCCTGTGTAACTCTGTACTCTACAGTTTCCTCCCCTGGATTTTCCTGTGTAACTCTGTACTCTACAGTTTCCTCCCCTGGATCTACATGATGAACAGGGAAATCTTCGGTCAAGGCAGCTGAAGGAGAAAGCCAGGCCACTGAGAAATTCAAGACATTTTCAGAAGGTACTAAGTCCTCAGGTGCAGCTTCAGTGTTAAGGCCTCTTAGGTTTTCTTTGGAGCAGTGGAATTGTTCAGAACAGGGTTTGGGTGGATATTTCAAGAGATGAGATGGAGGGTCCTGAAATGGAGGTTGCTCAGGCCTAACAGTAACAACTTCTGTAAAGCTGTCTTCAACACAAGGTGCTACCTCCTTTTCCACCAGATCTTCCAGCCTCGAGGACTCATTTAGAGGACTGCTGTTTATCTCCGCCATGGCATCTAAGTGAGCCTCAAGCATCAGCTCTTGCTGCTGCCCTAGTGGAAAGGGTAAAAGAACCATGGTCTCAACTACACGTTCATCCACTGGGTCTACTACAGAGTCATCCATTGTTTCTATTGCTTTCTCCACTGTACTGAGAGGAGAGCTGCTTTCAGGAGTTGGTTCAGATTCATGCTGACAAGCTTCTATACATTTTGTTGGAGGGCTGAACTGTTCTGAAAGGAAGTTGTTCTCAGTATTGATAAAATCCACTGGAGATGAGTTGTTGCGCTTTTCCTGCAAAAGAAACAAAACTAGTTGACTAAGGCAGTCAGTTCAGTCCTCAGCATGTAACTGTGGGTACATCATAATATCCAAACTCAGAAATAGCAAAGAGCCCTCATTGTCTCTTCTGAGGTAAGAAGCTAGCCAATCCTGGCTGACTACTACCCAGAACCACTAGTAAGGAAAGAAAACTAGGAAGCCACTTTGGACCCTTATGCATCCCCACACATAAATGGGGATCCAGCTGACAGTATAAACAGACCGAGCATATCTGTTCATGTCAGTGGGAGATTTTAGCTCAAATATGAACTTGCCATGTCTTTTTTCTAATTCCAACCTACATCTAAGAAATGTGGTAGGAGGGACCGAATAAGGGATGTATGTAGTAACAGAGAGAAACCCTGTCTCAAATAAACAAAATAAGGCTTTGGTGCACACCAAAGTACCCGGGAGGCAGAGACAGGCGGATCTCTGTGAGTTTGAGGTCAGCCTGGTCTGCAAAGCTAGTTCCAGGGCAGCTAGGGCTGTCATACAGAGAAACTGTATCACAAACACACAACCACACAGACACACAGACACACACAGACACACACAGATACACACACACACACACACACACACACAAAATTAAGAAAAAAAAAGAGAGATAGTGATATCTAATCAACACATCTTTCCTCATCTCTTCCTCTAGTTTTTAAGCTCTCAATAATCACGAGAGGTTCTGAATAAAACTTGGATCCAAGCTGAAAACAAAAAACAAAATAATAATGGTAGTAATATAATAATAAAGATTTTTGACTAAAGTACAGCTAGGTAAAGGCAATTCTGCAAGGTAATACTTGAAAGTATCGGATGCAGGAACATCCTGACTTCATAGGATATGAAATCAAACAGACTTCTCTATCAATGAGCCAGTGTTAAGTATTTCTCGGGAAATTGGTAAAGGTCAAAGGAGAAGCGAGGTAATAAAAACCAATAGCTAAATCGAGGTTCGGGTTCTCAGTGGATTCGTTTTAACCACCCCAGGGCACCTCTCTGTTGGCCTGAATAGCTGTAAATGGAAGTCACGGAAGTAGAAGGCTTCATTATCGTTATTAATTATGTTTCCAGCCCTGGCCCTCTGTTCCTCTGAGCACTCGGCTTGGGCAAACAGCCCAGTTGAGAGGCTGCCTAGGCGAATCTCACCTTCAGCTCCAGCTTGCGCAGGTATGGGGTCAGCGAGGAGAACATCGGCGGTCCTTTCCCTGAATCGGTGAGGGCTCCGGGCTGCAGTTGAAGCTCTCGGAGAGGAGTTCTCATAGCCGGTTTTCCCTGAGAGAGAAAGCGGGTGTGAGGAAACCTGGCCCAGCCAAGCGCGCCCCTCCTCCCTCCGGGAATTGTTTCCCTGCAACCACCCAGGCTGCCGGGCTCACAAAACCTCCCGCTGCCCGGCTCCGGTGGGACCCGAACTTCACCGGCTTCGGCACCGCCGGCGCCCCGCCCTGCCAGTGCCCTGACCGCCGGAGTTGTCTCCTCACCGGTTGAGGCGAAGGCGACAAGCCGGGATTCAGTGTTTTGACCCTCCACATGTTCAACTTGACGACTTTTCTGATCAAATCGACTTGGCCACATTCACCCGCCGTCTCTATTTGAACGCGATGTGCGCTTCCGGATTGGCTGCGGGGGCCGCAGTACGTCGCGGTGGGCGGGACCTCGTTCGCCACGCCCCCGTCAGCCTCAGCGCGCTCAACCCAACGCCTCTGCTTGGGCCTCAGGCACCTAGGGTGTGTCCTTGGTTCAGGGACACCATGGACAGCTGGAAAGTCAAGGAATCCTGTTTCAGTGGCTCCTTTCCCTCAGTTACCGGGCAAGCCGCACTTCACTCAGTTGGGCTGTTCAGGTGCAGGTGCCAGATTCATAACGGCCTGAGAGTCCCTAAGTGCCTTCAGGTAAATGCCTCTTAAGAATTTCTGGGCCTTTCTTGTGTCTAACCTTAGAGCCTGCAACAAGATTATTAAAATAAGAGCTGACATGTACTGTACTGTACATTTATAATGATTCTGGCACGGTTTCAAGTGCCAGAATTATTAACTCATTCATTTTATACATAAGGAATACAAAGATAATATAATTTGCATGACATCCCATGAAGACAGGCTTCTGTTTACTGAATCCCTTCATAGGGGAAATCTTCCCACTGAAGGTAGAATTAGTGTTATGTGTGTCTTTAATACAGGGTCTCACTATGCAGACTTGGCCCGTGTGGTGATCATTTTGTAGACCAGGTTGGCCTCAAACTCAGAGATGTGCCTGCCTCTGTCTGCTTCCTGAGTGCTGGAATTAAAAGTAGGTGCCATTATATCAGGCTGGTATTTATTAATTTTGTATTCATAGCTGAAGGTTTTGGTTGTTTGAAATAAGGCCTCAACACATAGCACAAGTTGGCCTCAAATGGTTGATTCTTCTGCCTCCAAAGCAAATATTTTATCTTGTGTCAGAGTCTTGCTATATGGCTTAGACTGGTCCTGAACTCCCCATCATCCTGTCTCTACCTTCCAATTGGCTGGAACCACAAAGCCTGAAAGGTGAGTGTTCAAGTTGATCATTGATAGCACCATGTTGAAGGAGGGTCTTGCCAGCCTCTTAACTAGCTCCCGGTCCTGGCCTTAGCCTCTTGAGTGCTGAGATTACAGGCAAATCTGGAAGTCTTAATGACTGGAGAGAAGGAAGCAAACCAAAGAGAGAGTTTTTGGTTTTCTTTTGTTTAGTTTCAAAACAAGGTTTCTCTGTATATCATTAAAGCTCCTCTTTGGAGCCAGGCAGTGGTGGTACAAGCCTTTAATCCAATGTCTGGGAGGCAGAGGCAGGTGGATCTCTGAGTTTGAGGCCAGCCTGGTCTACAGAGTGAGTTCCAGGACAGCTAAGGCTACACAGAGAAACCCTGTCTCAAAAGGGGGGGTGGGGGGATCGAGAAAAAGTAGTTTATGTCTGTAAGCCTAACATGGTGGGGCAGAAGATTCCCTGGCCAGGGAGTCTAACCAATTAGTGAGTTCTGGGTTCCATGACAGAAAATGCCTTCAAAAATAAGGTAGAAAGTAATTGGAGAAAATACCTGATATTGACTTCTGGTTCCACAAGCCTGAACAAATGTGAACAAGTGTGTAGGCACACACACAAACATGTCATATATACAAATTACGCCGGGGCGTTGGTGGTGCACACTTTTCATCCCAGCACTGAGGAGGCAGAGGCAGGCGGATCTCTGTGAGTTCCAGGCCAGCCTGGTCTACAGAGCGAGTTCCAGGACAGCCTCCAAAACAATACAGAGAAACCCTGTCTCAAAAAACAAAACAAAGACTTGCATATACACAAATTACTTAGGTAATTTGCATTTTGAGACAGAATCTCTCTCTGTTTGGGTCTGTCCTAGAACTTGGTATGTAGATCAGGCTGGCCTCAAACTCATTAAGAGATTCCCCTGCCTCTGCCTCCTGAGTATTGGGATTAAAGGCATATATGTCACCAACCATAGCCTTTTTGTTGTTTCATTTTTAAGCTATGCTCTGGTGAGGTAGACTGTACTCCTCTTCAACTTCTTCTCTGCTTCCTTAGTTCTTGCATTATACTTCTTTTTATTGAACTCTAGAAACAAAACAGCACTAGTCTGAAGGCATTAGAATAACTTTAAATAAAAATAGGGGTAGACAATATAAGTGGGTGGTGTTGAGGATGGAGCTCAGAGTCTAGAACTTGCTGTCTTAGGGTTTCTTCTTCTTTCTTCTTCTTCTTCTTTCTTCTTCTTTCTCCCTTCTCCTTCTCCTTCTTCTTCTTTTGGTTTTTCAAGACAGGGTTTCTCTGTGTAACAGTCCTGGCTGTGTTGGAACTTTCTCTGTGGGCCAGGCTGGTCTGGAACTCACAGAGATCCACCTGCCCCTGCCTCCTGAATGCTGGGATTAAAGGCGTGCACCACCACCTTCAGTTTAGTTTCTATTGTGTGTAGAGACACCATGACCATGGAGATTCTTATAAAGGAAAACATTTCATTAGGGCTGGCTTACATTTCAGAGGTTTAGTCCATTGTTGTCACGGCAGGAAGCATGGTATCATGCAGGCAGACACAGTGCTGAAAAGGGGCTGAGGGTTCTACACGTGGCCCAGCAGGCAGCAGGAAGAGAGTGACACTGGGATTTGAGCATTTGAACCTCAAAGTGCACCCCCAGTGACAGACTTCCTCCAACAAGGTCACACCTCCTAATAATACCTCTCTCTGAGCCTACAGGGCCATTTTCATTCAAACCATAGCACATACTAAGTTTGTGCTTTACCAAGGAACTTCTCTTCCACTCTCAATAGAATGATTCCACTACCCCTCCCCCCTTTGAAATAGGATCTCTCTTTAGTCTAGGCTGGCCTCACTTTTTCAGCAATCCTTCTGCCTCAGACTTTTGAGTCCTGAGAATGCTCTTGAGCCTGGATTGACCAAGGTACAGCAAAGGGTCTCTCTGCCTGTCTCTGTCTCTGTTGAGACAGGGTTTTTCTGTGTAGCCCTGGCTGTCCTGGAACTTGCTTTGTAGACCACCATGCCATACTTTTTCAGTTTCTTGAGTTTTGTACTGGGATGTACCAGGCAGCATAGGATGGCCTCAACACTCCAGTTGTCCTTCTGTCTTTATCTCCCAAGTGCTGGAATCACAGATGTGAGACCTCATACCAAGTTCTCTTTGGCTAAGAGATAATTCAGACAACATTTGTTTGTCTCTAAGCTATCTAATATAGCCTACAAAAGGGACCCAGTGCCCATGTTCACAATTTCCTCAGGACTTTAATTGTGCTACTGTCATCAGATGAATTGATAGTAACACTTCTAGGCACACAATATCATGTAATCTACTACCCTTATCCTTATTTTGTTTTTACTTTGTGTGTGTGTGTGTGTGTGTGTGTCTGTGTGTGTGTTAAGGTTTCACAGTCAGTTCAAGTTGAAGCTGGCCTCAAACTATGTAGCTATGGATGACCTTGAATTTCTGACCCCTACCCCACCTCCACCTCCCAAATGTTGGGATTACACGGGATTTTTACAGCACACTTGGATCAAATCCAGGGTTTCATGAATGCTAGCAAGGACTTTACCAACTGAACTATATACCCAGCCACCTGTATATGTATATTTTTGTCACTAATAACTTATTTTTCAGTGTGTGTGTGTGTGTGTGTGTGTGTGTGTGTGCATGTATGTGTGGAAGTAAGAGGACAACTTGCAGGGCCTGATTCTCTCCTTCACCATGTGTCAGGTCCAAAGGAAACTCCATTTCCCCAAATTCTGGCAGTCAGACAAAGCCACCATTCCTCAGGAACTTGTGAAGCCAGTTCCCCTCTGCCAAAAGAAGCCTTTTTCTCTTATCACCGGCAGAAGGAACAAATGGTCTTTGTGGTGCCTCATTAGCATACCAAGCTTGTGATGGCTTCCAGGCTCCCTCAGTGTCACAAGTGCCTGTCACATATGTTAGAGTCCATGATGGCCCACGGCCTCTCCTCAGCTTGTCTCACCTCCTCCTCTACCCGAAACTAACTTCCAGCCATGGGCTTCCTTCCCCAGCTTCTCATTTTCCTTATAACCCTGCTATCTCAGCTATGCTCTTTCTCTTCTTCCTCCCTCCCTCCCTCCCTCTCTCTCTATGTGTGCGGTGTGTGTGTGTGTGTGTGTGTGTGTGTGTGTGTGTGTGTGTGTGTGTGTGTCCATATTCTCCCTCTCTCTCTGCTCTGCTTTTCTCATGGCCATGTCCAGTCTGCTGGCCATATTCATTCTACACCTTTAATCCCAGCACTCCAGAGTGGAGGCAGGTGGATCTCTGAGTTTGAGGCCAGTCTGGTCTACAGAGAAAGTTCTAGGACAGCCAGGGTTACAAAGAAACAAAACTCAGATCATGAGGGAGCCTCGAGGCCAAGCACCTTTGCTTATGCTAATTTAGTCTTTGCTGGCCTTTGCTTAGTTTTTCTGAAACACAGGCTTGCCCACTGTAGTTCAGGCTAACCCTTAAACCAGGATCCTTCTGCCACTGCTGCCCTGTCCAGGTGCTAGGATTCAGGTGTGTACCATTCAGGTTTGTTTGTTTGGTTTTTCAAGACAGAGTTTCTCTGTGTAGCTATGGCTTTCCTGGAACTCACTATGTAGAGCAGGCTGGCCTCGAAGTCACAGAGATCCACCTGTCTCTGCCTCCCAAGTTCTGGGATTAAAGGTGTGTACCACCACCACCACCACCTGACTTCATCATGCCCAGTTTATCTCTGCCTTTGAGGAAAAAAAAAATCACAAAGGGTGGCGGAGGTTACTCAGCTGGTAGAATGCTTGCCTAGCATGCAGGAAGCCCTGGGTTTGATCAGCATCAAATAAGCTGGGATTAGTAGTTCAGGCCTATAATCTTAGCACTGGGCAAGGTCTGAAGTTTAAAATCATCCTCTGCTACACACTTGAGTTGGTATCTAGAGAGATGGTTCAGTAGCATTTCCTGCTCTTGTAGAGGGTTCCATTCCCAGCACCAACATGGCTTATAGCCATCCATAACTATAATAACCAGGGAATCTAGCACCCACTTCTGGCCTCTTTAGACACCACCACAGTACACTTACATATTTGTAGGCAGACCAATCATACACATAAAATAGAGCAAATAAATCTTTTAAATAATTAACTTAAAAAAATGAGAAACCTGTTGTTCCCTAACTAGAATTAATAAAATAAAATAAAATAAATAAAAAATAAAAAAAATGAGAAACCTGAAACCTGTTCCCCTCAGTTACTAACCAATGTTTAGAGCTGATCTACTCAGTGGTGGTCTGCTTAGAATGCACAAGACCCAGGGCAGTGCAGGGGGAAAATAAAATCAGTGATTATAATGCCTTCATTTTATAGCCCAGATCTGGAGCAATTAAACAGACTTGTTTAAGACATACTGAGATAGTTACTTGTAGATCCAGATACTGGATAGTCTTAGTTCAAATTCGACTCTCTTAAAAATTATTAGTCCCTACTTTTAGTATTTAAGGTTTATAATTCAGTATGTAGTTTTGATCATTACCACAAATATAACAAACTATTAAAATGTCTAAAGAGAAAAAAATGAGCTAACAGGATAAAGGATATAGTCTTTTTTATTCTTTTCTATACCAATATTAATCTAAGGATTACAAAGATGTAGATAATATAGTAATACAAAAGATTATAACAGAAAAATGAAAATAAGGAAAAGAAAAAGACAGTGACGGTTGTGCAATTTTTCTGGAGGTAGGCCCCAAAGTGGGCTCTTATTGGCATATTATTAGTACAAGGAGGAAACTATAGATAACTGACTAGTGTAAGAGCAAGAACCAAACAGCAGCTCAAGAAAAGTATAACTTGGTCCAGCAGGAATCCCCTGAACATTCTTTTGTTAAATATTTATTTGCTTGCTTGTTTGTTTGTTTATTATGTGTAGTGTTCTGCCTGCAGGCCAGAAGAGGGCACCAGATCTCATTATAGATGGTTGTGAGCTAACCTGTAGGTGCTGGGAATTGAACTCAGGTCCTCAGAAGAGCAGCCAGTGCTCTTAACCTCTGAGCCATCTCTCCAGCCCACCACCCCTGAACATTCTTATGTAGAACATTATGATCCCTCAGCACTTTTATTATTTATTTTATATGTATGAGTGTCTTACCTGAATATCTGTACATGCACTATTTATGTGTCTGGTGCCAGCAGAGGTCAGAAGAGGGCATCAGATCTCCTGGACCTGGAGTTATAGATGGTTGTGATCTGTCATCTGAGTGCTGGGAACCAAACCTAGGTCCTCTGCAAGAGCAACCAGTCCCTAACACACAATTAGAGCATCAGTCAAATGCATAGAGGTTCACATGGACTGCCAAAGCATGAACCAGAAAACAATTCTACCAAGGCAAATAAAATGGAAAACCTGGCCTAATCCAGAGAGAATACTAAGAGTATATACAATACTCTTCAGATTTTTTTGGCCTGAAATCAGACAAAACTGAAAAATAATAGTCTAGAATAAAGCACATTTTTACTTAAACACCAGAACAAAGGGGCTAGAGATTACTCATAAAAATTGAGAGCCTAAATTAAAAATATCAGAACAAAAATGGAACTTTTGAGTTGAAGTAAATGAAGTCAAATGCCAGAAATGTACATAAAAGTTCTGGATGATTTTCCTCACAGCAGGAGAATGTTCTTGAGATACATCTGTAACTTTAAATCCTAAAGTTAGTGCCATAGTGCTCCATGCTTTCATTTACTAATCAAAACCGAGCTCAGCACAGGTCTAGCAGTGCAGGACTATAATCTCAGCCATTTGGAAGATTGAGGCAGGAAGATCACCAGTTCAAGGTCTGCCTGGAGTGAGTTGAAGGCGCCAGCTTTGGCACTTAAAGAGACCTTGTCTAGGGAAGGAGGAAATCTGAAGGAAAGAATACCGGGGATGCAACTCAATAGATACCCATGAGCATACATAAGGCCCTAGGCCTGATCCCTAGGATCACAAAATAACAACACAAAATCTCTGAATCTTAAAACTAAAGGTGTTGGGAGCTAGGCTAATCAAGACTTTCCCTGAGACCTGATGTACGGAGGAGGACCTTAGTTCAAAACCAGGAATATGCTTAACAGAGCCAATAATGGCTCAGGGCCAAAGCCTTGGAGAGCTGTTGCTTTGTATCCTGACAACCAACTCTTCTCCCCTAAAAGTCCCAAGACTGCTGTGTGCTCATCTGGGATGAATCCCTGGGCCTCTGCTGGTAAAGATCAAAAGGGGAAAAACAACAACAACAACTCTGAATCTTGGACTGTATGGGAATATGATCATTTTAATAATCCTTATGTCTTTTTAGGAGGCTTTGTTTTTTAATAGATTTAGGAGACTCTCTTGTTATACTAGAGGAGACATAATCTGCCCATGAAGTTTTATTTTCTTCCTCACATTAGGCAACTATTAGATCCATCCACCCCACCCCCCCAAGACAGGGTTTCTCTGTGGTTTTGGAGGCTGTCCTGGAACTAGCTCTTGTAGACCAGGCTGGTCTCGAACTCACAGAGATCCTCCCACCTCTGCCTCCCGAGTGCTGGGGTTAAAGGTGTTTGCCACCACTGCCCGGCTCATTTCCTAATTTTTAAAAATTGTATTTATTGAAGGATGGCTTCAAGATTCTAGATCACATTTCCTCAATTACATTCATCTATTTATTTATTTGGGGGGATTGCATACATGTTGTGGGAGTCAGTCTTTCCTTATCCCATGGGAGTCTTGGGGATCAAACTCATGTGTAATCAGGCTTCACGGCAAGTCCCTTACCTGCTGGACCATTTTGCTCTTTATTTTTTTATATTTTATTTATTTTATATTTTATTTCAGTATGTAGCCTGGCTATCCTGGAACTCACCATGTAAATCAGGCAAAAGTCACAGAGATCCAACTGCCTTGTTGGGTGTTGGAATTAAAGGCATGTGCCATCATGCCTGGCATTTACATTTTTATTTTAAATTATTTTTGTGTGTCTGTGTGGATATATATATATATATATATATATATATATATGTATGTATGTATGTATGTATGTATGTATGTATGTGGGTAGTCACATCTGAGGAAGACAGAGGTGTGAGATTTCCCTGGAGCTGTATTTATAGGTACTTGTGAGGTACCCAATGAGGGTGCTAAAACTCAAGAGTCTTCTGCAAGAGCAATGATCATTGTTAACACTGAGCTATCTGTCCAGCTTCTAGGTCACTTTTCTTGGGAGGGGGGCTGTTTTTTCCAGACAGGGTTTCTCTGTGTAACAGTCTTGGCTGTGCTGGAACTTGCTCTGTTGACCATACTGGCCTCAAACTCACAGAGATTGACCTGCCTCTGCCTCCCCAGTGCTAGGATTACAGGCATGGGCCACCACCACCTGGCCAGTCATATTTTTTAACTATGTATTTGTTCAGGTGTTGAAATGCCAGCTTTTGCAATCTTTAAAAAACATTCATTTTGCTTCTGACTAGCTTGTTAAACATATAAAAAGCACCTCGGGATCCCACAAAGTGTCATTATTGCCCAAGAAAGGACGTATGGTAGAAAAACACGAATAAGGTAAAGTTTAAGAAGCCTTTGTTTGGGAACTTAAGTGAAAGTACTGGAGAAGTGAAATAGAGGTCACTGCCTTGGCCTGCGATTGAAAGGTGGGTTGTATGATAGGAAAGCATCAGGGGCAGTTTTGGCTATCAGTTGCAGAATGCCAAAGACTTAAACTGCTCCAATACCTACAACAGAATAGTAAGGGACAAACAAGGAAAAGCTGGGTCCTCATGGTGGTGGTACTGAGCTGGTAGTAGGGATCCTCAGGTTCCCAGCTGGGCTCCAATCTACAGTAGGGAATCAGCAGAGATGGAGTGGACCCAGGACTCCAGGTCACAGTCAAAGTCCTTGAAGGGCACGGATTCCAGCCCACTGGTGTATTGTGTGTCCATGACAAGGTTCACTGGCTGCTTCTTTAGGAGCTCAGGGTCAAAGGGCACACCCCGAAAGAAAGGGTGTACCTGGAAATGATGCAGATAACGTAGACGGTGCAGAGGGTTCTGGCATAAGAGCTGAAGGAAAACAGAGTGAGATTGGGATAAGAAAGAGGAGCTGGGGGGAGCTATGGAAGGCAGGGAGACCCTAAAGCACAGAAAATCTGTGAAGAGAAAGAAACATGGTGACCACAAAGAGTGGGAGGACTGGTGAGGATAGAGGAGATGGATTTGCAGATGATAAGGTAGCACTGGCCCATGCTCTTCAGAAGGACCTGTCCATTCTGGGTGAGGAACTCAGGAATGAGATCTGCACTACCAGTTACAGGGGAAATGGGTAGTCGGAGTGAGAACAGAGCTGGGAAATGTCACTTCAATGAAAAGGCAACGATGACAAGCTTGGGAGTCAAAAAGGAAAGCAGTATGCAACCTACCTCATGAAGCAGGAGTGAGAGCTCCTGAGTGATAGAAGCTGGCATCTCAGATTTACAGTGGGTCACACTTGCCAGCATGGTCACATGATCTCTCTCTGCAGCCACTGGGAACTGAGTTAAAGAGGTAGGGAGTGGGAAGAAGGCAAGGCTTTCTAAGGGCCTTTCCTGCAAAGCAAAGCTCTCTTCCCTGCTCAGCACCACTTCCATTCTCTCACCTTGCCAGTTGTCAGAGAGAAAAGCAGCACTCCCAGGGACCACCAGTCAGCAGTGTGGTTGTAAGGCCCACCACTTAGGACCTCTGGGGCTGTGGGATGAAAGGTACTTGTCACTCACTTCTCTAAGTCATCCTCCCCACCAGAGCTTTAGCTTCTCTCTCACCCATATACTGAAGAGTACCACAGATAGTATAGGCTCGTGCTCCCTGGGATAGGCGTCGAGACAGACCAAAGTCTGTCAGTTTCAGGTGGCCTATGGAATAAGGAGACAGGTTTCGACATGTGTCTTTTTTTTTTTTTTTTAACAAAGGTACCATTCATCTTGAGGCTGGAGAAGACATACCTCGCTCATCCAGAAGAATATTCTCCATCTGAAATGATGGGCAAGAGGACATTATCTCACTCTTTTCATTGATTCTGATTTGGCTTTTCCATTGTTATTTTTTTTAATACAGGGTCTCATTATGTATCCCGGGCTAGCTGGGAATTTGGTATATATACCAGGCTAGCCTCAAAACTTGCAGCATTCCTCCTGTCCCCCACTCCCAACGGTGCTGGGGTATAGGCAAGTATGACCACATCTGGCTTTCTTTCATGTAAAGTTGCTAGTTGGAGAAGGTAGTCCACCCAGCATTCAAACCTATACTTGGAGGACCCATACCTAAATCCTTTGAATCCCAAATAAACTGTCTCTGCTCCCCACTGCCTTCTCAAACATGTTGGAACTTCTTATTGAGGTAACACTACCTTTACATCCCGATGGATGATACCCAAGTCATGGAGATAGCCTGTGGAGAACAGTGAGCATGGGTGTGTGTAAGGTCTCTGTAGCTTCTTTCCCATTTCTGCCCTGACTTCCAGAATTCTGGTTTTTCCTCCCCATCAACTTAATTCTTCCCTTTCTATTTCCTTTACCACTTACACAGCACAAGGACCAGTTCAGCTGCAAAGAGACGGATAGAAGCCTCTGGAAAACCACCAACAGCAGACCACAGGGAATAGAGATCCATGCAGCAGTAGTTACACACTGCAAAGCACCAGAAATCTAGGCAATATCAGGGGTCTGTAATGCCTGGGATCAAGACATTATAGACCTCCTGCCCAAACTTATCCCACAAGCCTTTCCCCTCTTCCTTTGAAATACAGAAATGCTATGAGGAGTGGAACCAAGCAAAGGTAGAATAGTGTCAGGTTGGGAGAATGGTCTATGGGCCTTTGTGGGTGAAGACAAAGCCCAGTCCACTCACTAATGAAGAGGTGTCGCCTTCCCTGCCAGCTGTCCCCCAAGCTGTGTACAAAAGGATGGTTCATCTGTCGCTAGAGACAAAGAAGAAAGCAAATTAGGAAAGAGCAGGCTTATTGATGATAAAGACTTGTGTAGAAATGAACTGATCACAGAGTTCATTCGAGAACCCTGGAGCCAGCACACTACTAAGGAGCATGCCAATGTATGTTGGTGAGTTCCCTGGCAGAACCTGAAGTGTGTCTGCAGCTATAACTGCTTTTCTCAGGATTTACTTTGGTGCTACATTACACCAAGATGGAAACATATGGGGAAGGCAGAGCCAAGAAAAGCAGGTAAGTTGGACGAAGGAAGGGACTTTCTCTACCAGCAATTTAGTTCTTCCAGCCATGCTTTTAGAATTTTGCATACCTGGATGCTAACCTCCTCTTTGCACTGCCTCAGGGTATCCCGCTGTAGGACTTTGATTTTGGGCATCACCTACAAATGGAGAGGCATGATAACTCATGGAAAGTAATGCTGTCCAATTTATTCCTCCTAATCTCTGAAACTAAGATTGCAAACAGTAACTACTGAGTAAGTGGAATACCTAGACTCCTACCTTCACTGCAAACACAGCTTTTTGGGCACAATCTAGCACTTTCAGGACAGTTCCAAAAGAGCCTTTAGCCACAAGGCCTAAAATCTGAACAAAGAAATGGAGAAGAGAGCACCTCAGACTGGTTGTTTCTAGATTCCTCCCAAAGACAAACTTCCCAGGGACTCCAGTGACTTACCTTCAGCTCCTGCTGCCCCCTAACAGGCCTCATGGGAAACTCTGGTAGAAAGAGGCTGATGAACTGAGGCACTGGCCACTCAGACAGCGGCTTCTCTAGTGGCAGAGGGACTGGCTGGAGGGGCTCCTGATGCCTCTGAAGTACCCATAGTTCTTCCAGACCTGACCTGATGGTCCCCATACCACACCAGAAGCTCTTCCAGCCTTTCGCCCAGGGACCCTGGATGTTGCCACCCTGCTGAGAAGGGAGCCATTCTAAATCTACTCAATGAGGTACTGCAGGGTTAGTTTTTCTTTCTTTTTGGTTTTTAGAGACAGGGTTTCTCTGTGACTTTGCAGGCTCTCCTGGAACTTACTCTGTAGACCAGGCTGGCCTTGAACCCACAGAGATCCACCAGCCTCTGCCTCCTAAGTGCTGGGATTAAAGGTGTGTGTCACTGCCACCCAGAAGTCTTAACCTCCAAAGCAGTGGTTTTCTACCATCCTAATGCTGAGACCCTTTTATACAGTTCATGTTGTGGTAAACTTATTACCACAACAATTTACGTTATTTAAATAACGTAAAATTATTTCATTGCTATGTAATAACTTTAATTTTGCTGTTACAGATTACAATGTAAATATCTGAAATGTAGATTACACGAAGTGACCCCAGTGAAAGGGCAGTTCTACCCCCAAAGTGGTCATGACCCATTAAGAACCAGTGCTCCAGAGGGAAGGAAAATTCCCAGGCTTTGTGATGTTGACCTAGATTTCCTCAACATAATTCAAAATCTTGATAAGTTGTATGTTTTCTTCATGACAAATCAGGCATACAACCTGTGCCTGAGTGGGGTTATTCACATAATAGCATCTATGCTCACACTGCCACACTGGCTACCACTGACAAGCTAACTAGGCACTTTCTGGCTTCTAGCCCAGACCTCCTTCAATTCCCATCCATAGGCAGCCAGAGCCCCATACCCTACCTTTTGAGGAGCAGATACCCGGGTGTGTTGCCCCTGCCGACAGCTCACTGCTCCCATCCCCAGCCTCTGACTCCTCTCCTTCTGCTTAATCTGCTGTCCCAGTTACATAAGCAATTCCTATCTCTGATGCTGCATTACCCAGGAGCCCTGCCTCTTTCTATGTCCCATCAGCTTTAGGTCAACATACCAGGGCTGGGAAGTATCTAAGGCAAGACTTAGGAGTAGGAAGGCCACAGTCATCACAGTGGCAGTTAAAAAAGGGGTTGGGTTACTGAGGAGGGAAGGACACAGACAACTTGAACATTTACTCAATACAGATGAAAAGAAAAAAAAAAAGCCAGCATCAAATTTAAAATATGTTTTTCTTTAAATCATTTTTTTTTCTCCATTCTCTAGGGCATACCCCAGGGGGGAAAGGAAGGTATCCATGGCCAGCCCTGGCTCCTAATGCCATCCTCCCGAGTGAGCACACAGACTGGGAAGCTGACCCCTCCCCCCAATACTAACACATTTCATACAACAAGGCAGTGGAGTGAGGCACAGAGGATCAGACCCCTCCCCTCAGCTTACTGGCACAAAGGGAGAGCAATTACACTTAGAAATATATATATATATATTATATATATATATGTCTATTTATAAAAATTTATCATACTTGATCAAAACTATCCCCCCACCCTTTCTGTTGCAGGATACTAGGCTTGGACACACTCCACAGGCCTTCTGATTCTCTTGCCTTTCTGGCCCTGGGCCTAATAAGCATGAGGAAATTTAGCACTTTTGTCCACCATGCCCTGCAGGGACAGGCCAGCGGTTGAACGGGTCTCAGTTCCCTATGAGCTCCAAAGCCCCCAAATCCCGTGGCATGAAGGGAAGCTCTGCCCACACCCAAGTCCCCAGATCCTGAGCCAGAGTCAGATCCTAGACTGCAGTCACGTGGATCTCCAGATCACTTGCGCCTGCTGAAGAGGGACTTCTTGCCAGGGTTCCTGTCACCCACACTTAAACCGATAAGGAGCCGAGCTTTCTCCTCTTCCTGCTGTTGCAAGTTCAGGTCCGATTTTGTTTCTAGCTTTCCCCGTACCTCAGACCCTGTTGCAGGTTTCAACCTTAGCTTTTCTTTGATTACCTGGCAAGTGGGAAGGAGTAAAAAGTGAAAATATTAGTGGAACATGCTGAACAATTCAAACTGAACCAATTAAAAATTTATTAAACTGACATGCAGAGCACAATAGGGTGGTTCAAAGTATATAAATAATAAATAATGGTCTCTGCTTTCAAGAAGCGTACAATCTAATCAGAACCCATAAAGCAGCCCTTAGTTCCCTCAAATTAATGACAGTTAAAAGTAAACATTTTATTATACTGTGGCAACATCAAATACAAAAATTAGTCATTTTATTATTATCTGCCCAACAAAAAGCTTGCCAGTCCCTGCTAACGAAACAGCCATGAGCCCTGGCGAGATACCTGGGCAACCAGAGCTTTTCGGCTGTCCCTTTTGACAGCCATGGCAAAGTCCAGCCATGTCCACGTGTTGTTGTGGTACTCCAGACAGGGTAGCACCAAATTAAGGTCACCCCAGTCCACACTGTTCTTCTCACCCTGCAAAAAGGAGGAGGAGGGAAAAATTACATCAGCTGCCATTTTGAATCTAAGCCAGTACTTGGAGTAAATTCCTATGATAGCAACCTATAGATACAGATTGAATTTCCCCTACCTCAGTCTAGTAATGGTGCTGACTCCTGCAGGAAGCAGAAGGAACAGCAGGTTTGTCACCCATGGCTCACTGTCACAGGAAGCCTGGTTGTCACCCTCTATAATCTTTGGTTTCCTTCCTATTCTAGAAAGTGCTGGGATGGGAAATACCTTATAACTGACACACAGTGGAACTTGTGGGATTTTTATGTATATGAAGGAGTTGTTCATTGCAGCTCGCTCTTTCATCTTGTCAATATCATCAACTGGGTGCTAGGGAAGACAAGAAAGGAGTTATAAGCCTTTAAAACCAGAAGAAACTAAATATCCTAAATAGTACTCTGACTGCATTGGAACTTGCTCTGTAGACCAGGCTGGCCTTGAACTCAGAGATCCACCTACTTGTACGGCTTGAGTGCTGAGATTAAAGGCATGCAATGCACACTACCACCTAGCCAAAACTTTATTATGTATACAGTGTTCTGTCTGCATGTATCCCTGCAGGCCAGAAGAGGGCACCAGATCCCATTACAGATGGTTGTGAGTCACCATGTGGTTGCTGGGAATTGAACTCAGGACCTCTGGAACAGCAGCCAGTGTTCTTAACCTCTGAGCCATCTCTCCAGCCGTCCCCCAAAATCTTGTAAACATACTAAAATGTTTTTTAGTTTTTGAGGGTTTCTTTTGCCTTTTTGAGAAAGAACCTCTTATGGTCCAGGCTGCCCTGCAACTCATGATGTTCTAACGCTGTCAAGATTATAGTGAGCTACCACATTCAGCTTTAGGGACATGTGCCGTACCTCAGGTAATTTGCGAAATGATCTTCTGACCCCGGAACTCCGGGTCAAGCCCTGTGTCACACCCTTCCCAGGACCTAGTGGGGCTGCATCGTCTGTTGCTATCAGCTGCCGAGGCTTCACTACTGGTATTCCAGTTGTCACCAGTTTAGACTTATCCTCTTCATCACCAACGTCATCATCTTCCACATTTCGACCAGGAAAGAAAAAGCCCATCATCCTATGGAAGAACTGATGTGACAGTTGAATGGTGAGAGGCACCACATTCACCTACAAGGGAAAGAAGTGAAGAAGCAGTTAAGCTCAAGCGCTATCCTTGTCTTTTATCACTAACCAGTGTAACAGTTTTTAGTGTGAAAAGTCCTTTGACCCTGGGTTCCCAAGGTACTATTACGAACCTCAAAGTGTTCCTTCACAGAGATACCCCCAACAGGTGGCCGGACTTTGCTGAAAAGGCGGAGGGCAAGCTGTCTCCCTGACTGGCAGGAACTCTGGGGCCGCAGAACCACCTATAGGACAGAGCAAACAACAACTCTACTAAATGTACTCTATCTAAAAATCAATCCACAGACCGTCTACAGAGGGAGAACTGAGGCCAAAGGTCTTGATAAGCTGGGCAAGCTATACCATCTCAGATCACACTGCTTCTTATAGGAGTTGCTCTAAAGTACATATAAATGGGCTAGGAATGGGGATTCCATATAGGTGTGGGAATGTAGATTAGTAGACTGCTTGTCTAGAATGAACAAGGCCCTGCCTAATTCCATACACACACACACACAAACACACACCAAAAAAAAAAAAAAAAAAAAGACTCGCCTTATAGATAGCATTGGGGAGAAGGTTGTTCATAGTGAACCAGCCCAACTCCAGGAGATGTTCTGCTGTGTCATCAGACTTATTCACCTGTAAGACAGATTTTTGTTCTGTTCACCACAAGCTTTCCTTAGGAACTTGATAGAGAATTATCTAATGTACATATACTATATATATATATATATATATATATATATATATATACACACACACACACACACACACACACACACATATATATACTAATCTAACACTCTGATTTCATTTTTTATTTTTAAGTCAGGATCTGATAAAGCAAACTGTACCTGTGGCTGGCTCTGAGCCCCTGAGCCTCCTTACCTGCACATCTGGAATGATGGGATTGTATGAATGCAACATCACATTCTATCAATATGTCTGTCAATCTCATATACAATCTATGGACCCTCTAATCTAGTGTTTCTCGAGTAATACCAGCTAAACCACTGAAAGCTAATGCTTCCTAGTTATTGTGACATTTCTCATTCATTTTCAAACTTCCCTTGTAATAATATTCTTTCCCCTTGTAGGGTAGTTGCTGTCAGTATCAGAATGATACTATTCCAACTCAACTTGGAAAATTACTTTACTCTGGGTCTTAGTTCTAAGAATAAATATCTTTCCTTTTTTTTTTTTTTTTTTTTTTTCTCAAGACAGGGTTTCTCTGTACTGCTTTGGAGTCTGTCCTGGAACTCACTCTGTAGACCAGGATAGCCTCAAACTTCAGAGATCCTCCTGCCTCTGCCTCTGCTGGTTAAAGGCATGGGCCACCAACGCCTGGCTTTTATTTCATTTAGGACAGGGTTACAGGATTTCTCTGTGTAGCCCTGGCTGTCCTGCGACCTCTGCCTCATGACTGCTAGGATTAAAGGCGTGCACCACCGCCACCTGGGCTGACTACTACACCTGTATCATTTATTATAGGCCAGTGTGTCTAATCATGACCATCATGCAACTAGCCCTTTTTTTCTCTCCATGGATTCAACTGCTGCGCCCCAATACCTTGCTGTAGAGGAACCTCTGTAGCTCCAGCTCAGCTATTCCCAGCTGTCCATCTTCCTCTGTCAGGCGCCAACGTGCCTGGGCAAAGTAAAACTCAGTTCGACGGACCACACTCACATCTTCCTGTTGTTTTCGCAGCTCCATTTTGTTGGCCCGCTGCAGTTGGAAATCCTTAAAACATCTGTGCATGAACAGGAAGGCCAAACAAGTAAGGGAAAGAACGCATAGGCAGGAGTCCCTCACAATGCTATAGGCGCTAAGCCCAGAGACCAACCTCTGGCTTAGTGCATACCTAATTTTTTTTCCCACTGTTGCATTGTTTTTGACACTCTAGAAAACTTACCTTTTAGCTCTATAGCTTTTCCTCATTAAATCCTATGATTATAGCTTCAATATTTTTCTTTTTCGTTGCTGTTTTGAGACAGGGTCTCTCTGTGTAGCCATGGCTGTCCTGCAATTTGCTCTGTAGACCAGGCTGGCCTCGAACTCAGAGATCTGCCTGCCTCTGCCTCCCGAGTGATGGCATTAAAGGCGTGTGCTATCACTACCTGGCTTTCAATTTTGTTCTTTATTAATCAGTTTTAACGTATTTGAAGTTCACACACACACTGCTAAGGCCACAAAAGTGGTATTTCTCAACTACGTAATTTTGCAGCAAAGCCTTTCCTAGGAGGCACTCCAGTGCGAACCTGTTTGCACTCAACTCTTTAGCCAACCTCAGCAAGGCTTACGGGAAGATGTGCCTGTATCTACTCCTGCTATTGGCTTTGAGAACACACACTAAACCTAAAGACTGTCCTAACATGGGCAAGAAAGATAGTCCAGCTCTCAACTGAGTAGAGAAGACTGCTGGGTACCTGATGAGGATGTTGAGTTCTTCACTTTCCAGCTGCAGGTTGGCCTTTTCCTGGTTTAGCTGTAACTGAAGTTTTTGGTTCAGGTCAAGCAAGTTCTCATTCTTGCTGTCATCCTGTAAAGACTAGGGAACCAGGAGAGAAGAAATTAGGAGATCCTATCTACTGCAGGCTACCTCTCTGTCCTCAGATCACCTGGGGTAAATACCTTCATGATAGAGTACATCTGTTTCTCTAAGTGCCGTATCTGGGCCACGTGTTGCCGCACAGCCTCCTGCAGGTGCAATATGCTACTGCGCTGCTCCTCAGGATTGCTAGAGATCTCAAGCTGGAACCTGACACGCTGTTTCTTTTCACTATGCTCCTAAAAGAGGGAAATGCATACTTTTTGTGTATGGTTCTGTAAATAAAGCCCACAGCTTCACGCATGCTAAGTACATGCTTACTATTGGTACATCCCCAGCCCCGTGAATTAAATTTTTTTTTAAAAAGATTTTATTATGTATACAACATTCTGCTTCCATGTATATCTGCACACCAGAAGAGGGCACCAGATCTCATAATGATGGTTGTGAGCCACCATGTGGTTGCTGGGAATTGAACTCAGGACCTCTGAAGAGCAGTCCGCGCTCTCAACCTCTGAGCCATCTCTCCAGCCCCGAATTAACATTTTTTAAATGAGTAAGTTTTGTAGGAAAGTGAATGGGGATCTCTTCTGGAAAGCTGACCTTTACTGGTCATGATCAGTAGCAAGAGTAAGGGGTAATCAATACAAAAGATCTGCAATGTGGATTTTATAAGCCACAGGTAGAGATGGAGGCAAAAGTGTGCGGTTACCATTGTTAGAGATGTTTGGTTGACTGAGAATTAGCTAGAACAAGCTCTACATACAGTCTTAGAGACACTTAAAAGCTTAACTATATGACCCCCCCACCCAACAGAGTTTCTCTGTTTAACAACCCTGGCTGTCCTAGAACTTTTCTGTAGAGCAGGTTGGCCTTGAACTCACAAAGATCTGCCTGCCTCTGCTTCCCAAGTGCTGGGATTAAAGGTGTGCACCACCACTGCTGGAAAACTATATAATTTCTAATAGAACTGATTAAGAGGATTACCAATCAAACTAATAAGAGATACTAGTTTCCTTCTTATCCACTGAACCATCTCACAAGCCCAGCATTACTTTACTTCTTACTGTGATTCAAGTAAAGGACAGGTCAAAGTTCAGGTAAGGCTAATCTGAATTCTAGAAGGGCTCATGCTCACCTTCCGCTTGGGTTCTACATGGAGAAGCAGGTTGTTGACGATGTCCAGAATCATAGCATACTGAGCTGGGTTGGTAGAAATTTCCAATTCGTGGTGGATGAGAGTGAAAGTATCCACAGCCCCTAGATAATTGTTAGCAGTTAAATATAAGAGGTTCAAGTTTCTCCCTGAATATTCAATCTTCTAATTATATATATATATATATAATTTTTTTTTTTTTTGAGGCAGGGTTTCACTATGTAACCCTGGCCAGCCTGGAACTCATGGAAATCCAACTGCCTCTGCCTCCTAGATGCTGAGAGTAAAGTTGTGCACCACCACACCCAGTCTAACAAACATTGGAACCACTTCTGTTAGTCAATCCAACAGAGGGGTACAAGAGATACTCAGGAATAGGAATATGCTTATTTCAAAACTATAAGTAACATCCACAGTCCCTGTTTCCTCTAAGAGTTACAGGCTGTTTGAATGGCTGAACTTACAAAATGCAGAGTCAAGTGAAATGTTAGTAGCAACATTGAACAGGGATCCCTTTAATAATTCTGTTTTAAAACCGCTAAGGAAATAACTACTTTCACAAATTCCCAGTCCTCCCTGAATACCTTCCTGCTTCTTTAAGAGATCCTCCTTTTCCTGGTTCTCATGAACCTCAGGTGGCTTAATTTGAGTTGCCAGCTCAGGGTCGATGTCATGACTGTAACTAATATAGTACATTCGGCAATTACAGCGTGAAATGATCCGCTGGACCTGCTGGGCTTGCTGAGCTTCAGCGGGCTGGTTCCAATCTGGGAAGAAGTGAAAGAGATTCTCTATGAGACTTATGGTGAGAGCCTCCCATCTGCGTATGACTTTAAGGATTTCAGAAATGTTGCTTTTAGTCTAGAATAGCAAAAAATGCTACTACTTCAACACACACTGATGTTAAAAATAGATAAATTGGATATGGAGACATGGCTCAGAGGTTGGGAGCACTGACTACTCTTCCAAAGGACCAGGGCTCAATTCTCAGCACACATGTGGCAGCTCACAACTGTAACTCCAATTTTAAGGGATCAGAAACCCTCACACAGATATATATGCAAATAAAACACCAATGCACATAAAATAAAAAACAAGTCATTAAAAAGAAAAAAAAGCCAGGCCGGGTGGTAGTGGCAAGCAGATCTGAGTTCGCAGCCAACCTAGTCTACAAAGCTACACAGAGAAACCTGTCTTGAAAAATCTAAATAAATAAATAAATTTAAGGGGGAGGAAGATAAATTGGGGGCAGGCGTGACAACACACACCTTGGGAGGCAAAGGCAGGAACTCTTAGTTCTAGGCCAGCTTGATCTATACAGTGAGTTTCAGGACAGCCAGGGCTACATAATGAGACTATTTCAGACAGATAATAGAGATAGATAAATAGATGGATGATAGGGCTGGGTGTGCAACTCTAAGGTACAGCAAACACCTGGCACATAAGTGACCCTGAGTTTGATTCCCCAGTACTGCTAAAACTTAAAAACAGTATGGTTGCCAGGTGGTGGTGGCACATGCCTTTAGTCCCAGTACTTGGGAGGCAGAGGGAGGCAGATCTTTGTGAGTTCAAGGCCAGCCTGGTCTACAAAGTGAGTTCTAGGA